GAGCGCGCCCAGGGAGAGATGCGGACCGAGACATTTTCTTTCCGCGCGTAACCGATTGACTATGCCGTCGGTATCCCTTTAAGCTCGTGTTGAGCCCTCCTCACCAACGACAAGCATCAACAAATTGGCCTGTGAGACATCGAGCTGTTGTGTCGTGGCTTTCGTCGAATTTGCCTCCAGTGGCTGCCTATACAGGGTGGGAGGGGGTTTCTGAAAACGTCGATCTGACGTTCTAGTGAGTCAGCGGACTGCTACTGTATTTCCGCATCTCCCCCGGCCCGTTTTGACTGACGCCAGCTGGGAGAACAGGATCCGTTTGTTGTATATCCGGGCTTTCCCGCAGGGGTTGCCGGGGACCAGCATCTAAACTTTAGGGGGACAGGATAGTTGGGGGAGGGCGAGGGATAGGGAGGATGGGAGGCAAATAGGAGATGCACCTAGGGGGTCGAATTTCATGGGTGCTAGAGCTGGAAACGAGCTTTGAATGTTGCCCATACTTTAGGCATGGTACTGGGGGTGTAGTTGTAAGTGGTAATCCCGGATTTTCTTTGATAAATTCCTCTGTAACAACCCCCTTGGTGGCGATTAGGTAAATTGAAATATTAGACGCCTAAACCTGTAAAAAGTTGAAAATTAAAGTTAGAGTTTTCAAAGTTTAAAGAAATTCTTTTGTAGACGTAGTTATTGGCAGTTTCAACCGGTAAAATTGCTGAAATTGATCAAAATCAATCAATTGAATAAAATATAAGGGCCATTCTATGGGAAGTTCGCTCTAAAGTGCCCTCAACTGATTTAAAAAAGAGCAGTTTTGGGTAAGTATTAGAAGAACCTAAGGTAATAATCGTCATTAAAAAGCCTAAGGTCCTACATGATCCTTTTTCAAAGACTAGAAAAGGTTAAATTAACTTCCATTTCGGCATAAAAGTTTGACGCACCCAATTTCTAAACTCTATTCTTCTCCCCCGAAAAGCGAAAACCTCGAACTCTAAGGTCAAGTACCCTCGTTAAAATCGCCTTCTCCCCAGACTGTCCATCGTTATTTGACTCAAACTGCTTTAACGGAATGTTTTGGAGTGAAGTTCCCTTCTCACAAATGGTGCTGGCCCCAAACACATACACACCGAGAGCCCTCAACTCCATAATAGTTCTACCACCACCCCGCACCCCGACCCCTAGGGGCCTTATGGTTTTGTAGATGGTGTGTTAGGAATCTGCCTGCCAGCTTCTCCCTCCTTCTCTACCATACACAAGCCACAAGCCTTTTTCAACGATCCATCTCATCATGGGGGGACGACAGGCTTTTCACGCCCCTTGATGACTGGGCCATTCTTGATGACGAGCAAAAGCAAAGCTTGCGTTTGTGGAATGACCGCCTTACGGGGAGATAAGAACAATCGGAAAGACTATATCCGAAGGGAAAAATGATGCAATCATGAAATCTTAGGCAACTCTAACTAACCTGGCATCCTGGGTTCCTGGCAAACTCGTCAAAATATCTCCATTTTCGCGGACGAACTTGCGTAGCCATTGAAGACGCGTATCGCATTTCCAAGGATTATCTGTAACTCAATTACAATTTCTCTATAGCTTTCTTACTATTCAAGAACAAAGTCCTGTGTCTCGGAAGGACTTCTTGTGTACAAAGCTTTCGTAGAAAATATGAGCAGGCAGATTCTCCAGCCGATTTCCACTCAAATCCATATGTTCCAAGGATGGAAGCTGGCTGAAGGCGAAATCTTCCACGTTGTAGATCTGAAATAATCGATGGAGATTCGATATATGAAATTACTGAATTTGAGCTCAAATCCACAGTAATCAGCTCGGAAAGTGCGGAGAAAGTCGATGCAGCAATGCTAAAACATTTTTGATCGTGATTTGGTTTTGGCCAGACCCAGTCAATTGATTTCGGCTCAAAACCAGCACTTGAATTTTTGAGAATTTATGTAGTGCCTGTGGGACGATATTTGTCAGTCAAAGAGCACCGACATTTCATATTGAATCAGCATCTTGTGATATTGGAAGCCTAGATATTTGAAGCATCTGGATACCAACAATTAGACTCACTGTCCAGCTTGATTTCCGAGATATCCTTGTTGTTGCTCATTGACAAAACCTTTCAACTGCTTCTAGGTAATAGAAAGTATTTCCGCTGATATTGGCGAATAAGTTATTTCAAATATAAAGGTAAGTGAGTTGGTGGGACTGTCTTGAAAGTCTCTGGCCCAATTTCACGGATCTGAATTTCAGCAGAAGATTTATTTGGTTTCTGGATAGGCTACCCCGTTCACTTCGAGAATTTTAGGGATTTCAAAAGCGGGAGTGGCAACGAATTTTTTCCAACATATTCAATTTTAGTTGACACTCAAATTCAGCTCCTCTAGTGATGGAACATTTTCCAAAGGGGTTGATGGAATGTGTTTGAAGCTGTCTTATCCAAGGACAGCTGGAAAACACGAAGTTGTGGTATAATAGGTTTGTCAAACCTGCTTCAAAGACTCCAAGCCTAAAAAATGCTTGAACCGGTAGCTCCGCTAGGGTTGTTGGCGGAAAGGTCCAAGTTGGTGATGGCTGTACGACTCAGATACACGACAAAAATGCGTTGTCGCTGATTTCCCGGATGAGGTTGTCCGACAATGAGAGGATCTAAGAAAAAGTTCTGAAACCATGTATTGGCATACCTTCAGACTTGTGAGCTTTGTTAGGCCGACTTGGTGGATATGATCAAGATAATTGCTTCGAATCTCCAGTTCTTCTAGATTTTCTGCTAGCTATCCTTCAAAGGCATCTGGGTTGATCGTAAACATTCCATTATTGCGGAACGATAGACGGCGAATCTTTAGGTCTGAGAAGGCAAGAGCTGGGAGCTGGAAAGGACAGTATAAAGTTAATTTTGATTATTTTTACCCTCTTCTATGGGCGTATTACTGATGATCAGCTTTTCAACTACTATATCTGGGACTTGTACCGATTTCCAGAACATTTAAAAGTGACGCTGCTTTGTCGCAGACCACCGATAGGGTCTGGTATTTTGTGGAAGTACAGGTGCAGTGGGCGCTCAAAAAATAATTTAAATCTGATTTTTCAGAGAATGAAACTACCTGAATTGTCGGTGGGCATACCGAAGTTTCTAATTAGAGAGCAGCAGAGCAGTAAAATTAACCCGACTTTCGGGAAATTTGAATGCCAAGGCATTGGTACTAAAAAGAGTGATGAAGGTATTCACATCTTACCACTTTTTGTATAGATCGAGTGATAAATTAAGGGTGTAGTGACACAAGCGGTCTAGAAGTAATGTTATACTGGTGGTTCTAGCAATTACCAAATGAAGTGGACGGCGCGGAAACAGACGCTGTGGGCTGTAGAAGGGTGGATGTGGGGGAAGGCCGCATAGACTGGAGACGTTCGGGGTGGTGGTAGAGACAGAAAGATTTGCGCACTCTGGGGCAATAATGGTCAACACATAAGCACTGGAATTGGTCTCAAAGAGGGGGAGCCTCGAATTATAAAGTCTGCGTCCCTCGCCTCGGGGGCCTTGGAGTTCTCTGGAGATGGGGAAGAGCAGGATCACGCTTGGCTTCTGGAAATCGGGGTTGTACAGTTTGAACGTGAGAAATAGGAGAGTTTTGTCTGGATCAAAACAGAAGGGTGGTATGCGGAATGGGGATGGGGGAAGACAACGGATAGTTTGAGTGTTGGTGTCATTTGATGAACCGTGGGATAGGAAGGTGACATCAGGACATGATTTTCAGATGTGAACGCCTAGGATTTAGAATGTGAAAAGGCAGTTCAAACCTACAGTAATTTTGTGAGTATCAGTAATCAGCTATAACTTGATACTCAAATCCTTATAGCTATTCAACACCAAAATCGAAAATTATCCAAAAGGAGGGAGCCTTCCAGGAGCCATGCGCTGACCATGGGAAATCTGGGATTCAGGGAAGTGAATGTCTGTAATCAAACATACAGTAACCGTTAAGTTATTTCATCCTGATGCATCATTGCTGCAATTCAAAATGGAAGCTTCTCTGAATAAGCGGAAATTTTAGAACAGGATTTAGAAAAAAGCAGTTACTGAAGCTATTCCCCAAAAACCTACAGTAACCCTAGCTCGTCAAAAGTTAAAATCTGACTTTGAATGACGATTAAGCCCCCAAATCAAAGTCTATGAGAATGAATTCAAAATTGTTTTTGCATTATAAAAAACCTGTGGGTTGAGGAAAACACGGAACAATCGGTTGGGTTGACGGTGCCTGTGTGTGAGGGAGGAAGAAGAGGGTGGGTGAGTGGTTGTTTGTTCATTGGAGGGGGGTACGCCTGGAGGCTATAAGCCGATTTTGGGCCTCAAAGGGAGACACCGCCCGGTCCGCCGGTTTTTTTAGACAAATCTTTCTCGCGCGAATTGGGACATCTTGCGCGTGGGGGAGGCCCGCATCCGCGTGTAATGCTAAGACATTGGGGTGTACTTTCTGAAGACTTTCAGTGTGCGAAACCTCAATAACTGGATGCTAAAGGTTGCTTCCGGGGCTTGATTAAATTTACATATGTATTTAAATTTATGTAAAGTTTAGTTTTCTGACTAACCATTACGTAGAAAATAATTTTATTCCGTAATTCTATATTAGTTCAAGACGCAATAAAATTAATCTGAATGTTGGAAACAACAAAAAACAAATTGAAATACTTTACGAAACTCAGGAACTTCCCCCAACACACTCCCTTGACCTAAACATATCCATATTTAACGAGAAGATTTCCGTAGCGGCGCGACGTGAATATGAAAGATGTCCATCTTTGGGGAGCAGGGGTGTCTCCAATCTTTGATCCCCTCCGGGTTCATCAGATGGGTCATCAGTTCTTTCGGGGAATGTCCATTTTTCGTACTTTATTGTCCACCAACATTGGTAGAGCGCCATTCCGGAGGTGACTGGGTCGAAATCTCGCATGATTCGAAATTTTCATCCCAGAATTTAGGGCGTGGGATTCGAGGGGCAACTGCGGGAATGCAAAATCAATTAATCTTTTTCAGCAAACCTCAGCCCAACCCCACCCATCGAACTGCCTGGCGTCAAATTGGAAGCCGGCAAAAGAAACATACTGAAATAAGGACCGCCGGGGATCGGATAGTGGTGGAAGAAGTGGTGTTTAAAGAATACAGCGCCGATCAGGCGAGCGAGATTGGTGGGCAGAAATGAACAATTTCGAAGTAACCTTAAAAATATGACAGATCCCGCAAACTTTGACACAATGTCCATTCGAACTGACGTCTCTGATGATGACATGAGTGTCATCGCTCTGATTTGCCGATGGATGACTTTTTGCCGGCCGGTATGTAAAAACGTTTTTGTGATATCCAGATTCTTTTTAGAAGAAGCAATGGAAGCATTTGTTGTTGATGATCAGATCGCTGGATGATCGGCACTATAAAAGGTTGATGGCCGAACAAGTATATGGGATCTTTTGTTTGCTATACTTTTTTTTGCAGTAATTCGATGACGGCGAACCTCCAGGATCTTGCTGTCATCATCAACGTTGCTGATCACAATTCAGCTTAATGTTATCGGGAAAATCAGAAAGGTAGTTTGCTCTAACACCATTTGATACAATCTTATTTAGATTTTCCTATTACAAGAGCTCGGCCTAATGAGAGGCGATGTCTACAAATCAATACCACCAAGCCTGGTATCAAATAACATGCTTTGAAAAAAACTAAATTAATTTAGCCACCCCAGCCAGCCTCTGATCCGCAGATTCAATTCACGTTTTCCTCGCCGGCTGATCAACAGATTTCAATTCTGAATGTAAGGATGCTATTTGTTTTTGAAATGCGTCTTTTTAGTTGAATGCCAGCAGAATGGATTTAATTGTGGAGGATGAAATTGTCAGCCATCTGTCAGCTTGGATTCAAGATGATCAGCCTACTCCTAACAAGCTTCGACTGCAAGTCCAAGTCAACGATTCACAAGTGGAAATTCGGGTTTGTGCATCAACAGCTATTATAAACCTTTTTTCGATTCAGGGACCTCCAAAAGAAGAAATCCCTCCGACTAAAAATGAAGCAATGTGTCATCGAACAAGAAGAAGACTAACTCTTCCTTTCTGTCTTTCGCTCATGTATTCCCTATCTTTTGCTCGTTCTCAATTTCCGTCTTGTTCTCTGGCCCAATCCTTCACCCCTGCTTTTTTCCGTGACCAGAACTGTGTTCCAAAGAGCTGTGATTCTTATAGTGCTTATTCACTTACTGGCGTTCAATGCCTCAAGAAACGAAAATGAAATCTATTTATAAATTGCTATTTATCAATTCTTTACGTCACAACTGAGGTCAAGCTTCTATAAGGTAGGCCGGGACCACGCACCACATTGAAAAAGTCAACGATTTCAGAAACAAGCAATAATGGCGATCGTAATGATTTGCATTTGGCTGCCAGGGAGGTTGACGATAGATTGATCGTAGCGGTGGCATTTCGCAAAGGAATCGGGGTCATTTTGATATATAGTTTAAGTGATAACTTATGAAAATCGGTCTTTTCCAAATTGGGATTCTAGTGAAATTCCGGGGACTCCCCTTGGTGCCAGCAATAACCATCTTCAAGGGCACATAACACATACCCTGGGCAAAGAATTTTTTAAAAGGTTTTTAAAATTACCATTTCAAAATACCCTCCACTGTATCACTCGCCCTACTCGCAAATATAAAACCCGCTTGGTACATTTTTGCCTTAGGTTTTGTAATCTCTTTGAAATTGGTTGGTAAATATTCATAGACATCTAAGCAACTGATAATACAATTAAATGCGTTCTTACGCTGAGAAGCTGCCGAATAAATGCCGTGACCCGTATAACCGTGGAATAAATAGGCAGCCTAGAATTGCATGTTGCATCCCTCCACTTCCGGCCTACTTTTCGACAATCTTTCACATTTTCTTGCCATTGCTTTTGATCCCAAAACTGACTCATGGGCGGTTGTGTTTTCTCGAATATCCCAAGTTGTGCTATTGACGGCAGTGGCTGTACCGGATTTTGGTTTCGTGGACACGTCACTAACTGGAAAAAGGGCCTTGCTGAATCCGAATCCCCCCATTTGGTATGACTAAAATTAATCCCGCTCCCAAAAACTCCGGGTCTGATGTACCCAAAACGCGAAAAAGAACGGGAACCTGATAAACATGTGACAAATCGGTTCTCTTAAATGTTGTTATCGAACTATCCATATGTACCAAATAGCACCGAATTGGTTGAGGGTTTCCTAATTTGAGAGAAGATACCTTTAGTAAATCCGTTACCTACCGCAATTATAATCGGTTTCCATCGATACTGGAAAAGTTGGGAGACATATTTTGGATATTTTTTGAATTTGAATTCTCTGTAATACTATTGAATGATCGCGTCAAAAATCCAAAACCTCAATTCCACATTACACCGCTTCCGGATGTAATCTTGGGTGTATTCAGAAATTCCGAGGCTGTAGACGATAATTTTTTGCTTAGGCCAGTATAATCGGACCAGCGACTTCTACTACCAGGTTATAATTGTTCATAGCTTTAATACCATTCGTTTTTGCTTCATCCCAATGATTATCGGAAAATGCAGTAACAAATACAGACTGTGGCATTTCTTCCGACGCCAAATCAATAGTTTTACTTTCAGGCAACTAGTCCTGGAAATAATTCTTTCTGAAAAACTGGCTAACGATTCACATTATTTACCTAATTCCTTTAACTGCGCCAAATAAGAACAATTAAAATCGTTTGCCCAATGTCTCCTAGTTTCCGGACGTGCATAACAAAAGTCTTAGCGCCTTTTGACCGTCAACATCAACACACGCACATTCAGGACTAATATATTTCTAAACAAGCTTCCACAAGAACCTTCTTAGTTCACCTTTGCTATCACTTTTAGTGGCCTATGATACCGATGGAATGCATATATTAACACAACAACAACAATAAGTTGGATTAGCTTCCGATAATTGTGCAAGCATCTCCAAGAATGTCGAACCAATGACATAACTCTCGGATTCATAAGTCCATGTCCCCGAGAACGCGCTAGAATGGATTTGTGTTTTTGAAGAACAACCAAAAAAGGGGAAGCGGAACGTAAGTGGGCATTCATGCTTTGGGCTTTAGTCCGGCTAGGGGCCAGTGCAAAAGCGGGAAGGCAAGGTTGGGCTAAGCACCGGCGCTAAACAATTTCGATAGTTTGTAGGAATAACCCACAAAATTCGGCTCAACAATTCGGATAGTTTAGATTCATCGGAATTCTACCGAAATTTTGGGGGAGTCCGTCGCTCATTTTCCGTATAGCTGCACCGAGGGGTCGTCGATGCCACATGGCTTCTGAAGCTGCATAATGGAAAAATTGAGGGACCCAACAAAACAGGTTCACTGACGACGAGGAAAACGATTCGTTTTTGTTTGTAGAGGTTTATTGGGGACGGTCGAGTCTATAAAAAATCTATCTAAAACCTGATCGGGCCTTTGATGTGGAAATCAATTGTCATGACTATAGGGGGGAATTCCTGTGAGATTTATTGTGCTTTGAATCGCCGGATATTAAGAGGAAGCCCTTTTATGAGTGGAAATGCGGCATATTGGGCAATCGGAAGAGGAGGAGCAAACCAAAGCAGAAAGCGATTGGATTTAATGGGTTAAGTCGAGCTTCAACTACATTTAAGTATATGGGGAGCGATTATAAGGACGATCGCCGAAAAAATTTATGTTATCAACAACAGGGAAGCAACGAGGATTCAATTAAAAAGTCAAATACTTTTATATTCGTTGTAAGTTAATTTGTTGGAAGTGAATTACAATGGTGTGACATAATAAACACAAATACGATTTATCAAAGATCAAAAACTAAAAACCACGGGCCACCTTCGGATCTTTTTTAAAAGATCCAGACAAGTGTTGGATGCGGCATGAAAGGGAAGCAGTTCTTCCCTTCTTGCTAAGCAGAACTTCATCAATATTCACCAAGAGAGTTTGTCGATTCAACGAAGTTCATGTAAATTTTCGATTCTTCACGCTCTAAAAATTCAACCATCATCTTTTTCATATTAACCTGCTATGACTGTATTTATGTAGCAATTTGAATGGCCATGCAACTACCACAGAGACGTTAATTTAGACGACTAGTTTAGTAAGTTAACGCCTTGTTTCTCAAGTCTCTTTAATAATCCCTTTTGCTTAGCCTTTAAATTTACTTCCCTTAATTATGAAAATATATCGTTTGAGCAGCTGGCGTCCCTAGAGCATGCTTTTTATTTCACATCGGTTTTTTTGCGTTCCTGGTTGTTACCTGACTCTTTTTCTTGGGGCTCCACCAACTGAGGAAAAGATTTTCTCCGCCCAATTCATTCATAAAAACACTTTTCCGCATCCGGAGTCTAACAAAGTGCGGCTTTCCAAGACTTACTCAACAACTCCCTAATTAAAGTACTGTTAGGAAATAGCGATCCGCCAGATCGCCACTCAGAAAAACCGGTCCAGTTTAGGATGAACACTTCTTTTTCGAACCTTTATAATAAATTTTCTGTCTATTTAACTTTTTACGTCACCAATGTCACGCCGGGATTTCGTAAACTTTTGGTTGCGGTTGCTATGGGAGTGAGTGGCTCTGGCTGCTTGCCTTGTAATCGTTGCCGGTCCGGGTTCACTTAAGTCCCTTGCTCTCAAGAAAAACTAATTCAATATATCGTTACTCACTCTTGGCCAAATGGTATATTCCTTTGATTGTGAGCTTGCTTTAGGAGTGTCTAGAACTTTTTACTGCTCAAAATAGTGTTAGAAAAATCGAATTTTACTTGTAATCACTAGGCTTTGCAACGACATTTATAACGCCAGTATTCAGCGAGTGTATACCCTACCTTCAATATAACACAAAGCTTTTTTAACCCTAATGACACATAACAAGTTCCAAACTACTTTGTTGATTAATCACACCTTTGCAACCTTTGCACTCAGTACCATCAATTTTCAGAACCGCTACCGGATGGCCGCCCAGGAGGGCTGACGGAATCCCGCTGCCCAGGCAAACGATATGTAACTATCCCAACCTTGCTTTCAGAAAATTGTTTAGGCAGATGACAGCAGCGAGTCCGATAGCGATTCTCTCTATCCGAATCTTCGCCCGAGGTCGGTCATAGCGTTCTCATTTCCCGTTTAACAGTTATAAGAATCGGTCGCCGCGATATCGTAACCCTAACCACACACCGAACAGGCCCGAGTTTCCCTGGAAGGTATAACGGATACCGTTTATTAGCCTCCATTTTAAGTAGAAATTTAGGTTAATGAGCGAATACGTCCGCTGACGCAGCATCGGGAAACGTTCTTCGCTTTGCCTCCGTTTTGGCCTCGATTCTGACTGATTGAGAGCAAGAATGTGTTGGGAACATGATCGCAAAGCTGGAGCCGGGTCTTACAATTCATGGAACCAATTGATCAGGACAAGTTCTTTAAACGACAAGGCTTTTATACGAAAAACGTCCAGCACGAACTCGTCGCTTCGAGCGGAAAGCTCGTCATGTGCTGGCGGCTTATACTACTTGCCTCTGCCACCGAGAATTGATCACTCGTGATTAGTAGAATAAATAACTATTTTTTTTCTTTGGGAATCTGTAAGGATCTATGTATAATTTCTCATATTGTAAATTCCATGCACCTCCTTGTTTTTCTCCATTGTTTTTCCTGTTCAACTTTTCCCCCTCATAAAAGATATTAAGACATTATAGTTTATCAGGCAGTACATATTAAATTAAATTACAAATTTGGTAAAGTGATCTTCGATGGCGGCCCCGTATGCAAATGTGAGTGTCCGGAAACAGATTGGGATCAATAACATTTAGCAAACGCTAGAATGGGAAGAACAAGGACACAAAATACAATGATCAACAAAACAAATGGGGGGATTTTGATTTAGAGTTCATCCTCTTGATCAGCTCTTTTCGAGCTGGATGTCAAAGTAGAGCCTGGATTCCTTCTGGGACTTTATATTGGGCGTCCCTCCTCTCCGTAGCCTAGTTCGTAGGGGATGATGACCTAGAGCAAGATTATTTTAGAACTGTTTGTGGTTTGTAGCTATTTTCGATTAATTCAGGCGGATATATAAATTTATACGAACCTTTCTCCTCTCTCCCTCGCACATGGCAGTCATGGCCCTATCCATTCCCTTGATAATCTTCATTGTTTCCGAGACGGAAGATGAAGGCGGCATCACGAGACCACGACGAGTCAACGACTGTTCCGTCTTCAAGGTGCAGCGTGTACCGTTGGGTAAGGTGTTCCGGAATCTCCGACTTGCGGCACTCGACCTGGTGACTCTAGTGGCTGTGACCCAAAATTAGGGGGCATTACTATTGTCCCGGGTTTGTCGCGGAAATTTTTTCAACGGCACTCCAGACTCGCAAACAAAGGTGTCTTGACGGCTCTTTCAACATCTAGCTGCTTCCCCACTTCCCCCACAAATTTTATACCGACCTCAATAACGAGTCCATCCTCATCGGTCCACTTCTCACCGGGGTTAGGGCGGAAGAGATCGACGAGCTGAACGGTGTAGTAGAGGGTCTGGTCCTCAACGACGCTTGTCGCTAAAAACTTATTATAAATTGAGATAATCCAAGAAATGTAGCCATTTCGTAAAATTTCTAAAATTTCCCTCAAACTCACCGTTCACTTCCCTTGTTTCCGAATCTGAGAGCTCCTGGAATGACGACCTTCCCTCTTCTCCAATACACATTCCAGTCATAGCACGCTCCATATCGGCAATAACCCGCCCTTTTCCGAGGGTAAATGTGTATCTGAAGAAGCGGTACACTTACTTCTTTCATACTTTTAACTTACGGCTTCTTTCCGAAATTGCTTCCAATTTCCTTCCCTCCTTGTCGGTCAATCGGTAGTACTGCTCGAGTGGGCAGTCGCCTTCCTGTGACTTCAGCTTGCACCCTCTGCCTTGATCGGGCTTGATGATCTGAAACGGGTTTTGATAAATGCTTATCAAAGATATTTTCCGCAATTTTTTTAGATGCTGCAAGCCACGTGAGAAAATGCGAGTAGACGCCTTGAAAATTTTTCAAAACATCCCTCATCACCGAACCGCCGAACTAGCCCGTCCAATAAATACCTTGACTTCCAAGCCATCATCGTCCTTCCATTTCAATTTCTGCTCCTCCCGGATGGCGACGAACGAGACGAGCAGGACAAAGTATGGGAGGAACCCCAACATGTGCCTGAAAGCTATTTGGTCTAAAATGATCAACCAAGAGCACTCAAGATAAGATAAATCTATAGAAAAGCATCGGATACTCGGCAGGCTGGTGGGTACTGGAGGGCGTGGAAGGGGGAATAGGAGGTTGAGCGTGATGGCGAGCTGAGATAGGGCCAGTAAAGGGTCAGCTTTTTATGCGGAACCCGGCTAGCCTATGGTCAGCCAAACCGGGGCTTTGACCTTATTTCTGGCGTATGGGTGGTTAGGGGAGAAACTGTTGAAGAAGCTTGCGCGACTGGATTCAAGTTTTATACATCTGAAATCGCGGGAAATTGGGTTTATTATTTGACTGAAAAGAGACCCAGAAGGGTTCGAGGTCTGACATAATAAAATTCTTGAGGGTATCCTTGGATCTTCACATCAAGATCTTTGTTAGAAGGCTTACTATATACCGTTAATTTAATAATTACAATAAGTTCCATCCTTCAATAGTAGCGCGTCCAAAAGGTTACTGTAATTAATCTAAGCAAAATCTACCAACAACCCAAAACTCCTCAGCCCAACCATAAGTTACAATATTTAGAATGACCGTCTAAAATTGGGCATAATACCAGAAGGGCCAGATGTATCTCCAGACATGTTTCCAGAGCGTCTAGAGCATGTCCAGCCCAAAGATCCGCAAGGAGGGAGAGTTGTGAGGATCGTGTGGAAGGAGATCGATCCTATGACCGGTCCTCCCATAAGAGCACCCTGAGGAGCATCCACCAGATGTAGCCCTCGTTCCTACAGAACCGCCTGCATACTTTCCCCCTCAAGCCACCCTAGCTTCCCAAGCATAAACATGGCAGTCTATGGCGAACATTGGCATCTACGTGGGTTGGCAGAAGTAGTAGGGGGGAAATGGATGCTCTTGGTGGCTCTGTCACCGAATCTGACATTATCTGGTACTGTCTTACATCTGATTACCTGACATTTTTCATCACCCATCCAATATTATACAATATAATATACTTTCGAGGGTGACTAAATTTCGACAGGTCGCCACATCTGAGAAATCGTTTAAGAAAAACCTTTTACTGATGAAAGCGATCCCTATTATTTCTTGATCTACTACGCTCATGCGTAATGACGAGATGTCAGCGGGACCAGAAAATTCAGCAATCTTTGTCCAATGTTCAAAAGGAAAGTCCAAAAGAAAACGATGCGAGCATTGTAAGCCCAACCAATATGGCCATATCTTGTAGAGCATAAAAAAATTTAAAACGAGGCGTGGCACGTAAGCACCCTTAAAAAAACGTCTTTCTGTGGAAAACAGCACCAAAGCCTGAACGGCCTGGCTTTTTTGTGCAACCTGGCGTTATTACGATATCAAGGCATCTCAATGTACGGCTGGGAAACTCAATGAGTTCACGCCGTCCCACTGTCGAGTTTAACTTTATATAGGTAGAGCGATACCCTCCCACAATGTCTGGGAACAAAAAACCGAAACATGCGCGGAGCCCTGTGCGCTGGAAGCAGTGGAACGAGGTCGTCGTCTCAAGCCAAACCCGGAGTCGTCCTCCCAAGGATATATAGGAGAAAGATTTCTCATGCTACCAATGAAGAGCTAACGCTACGTAGCCGACCAGCAATGATGCAAAATATCACAGCAGTGGAACTGGGAGGAAGCGAGCGCATCCACCAGTGGTGGGACTAAAAGTGCAAGCGATGGCCCGCCTCCAGCTGGCCGTTGACTCAGCAAAGCTAGCTAGACAGCTGTCGCGTACTAGGGCCAGACTTTTACCGAGGCGGATAGTGATGACGACGTCTATGTTCACTGTCTCTAATCTTCGCGCCCGGTGATTATCTTGGCAGCTGGAGGCGTTTTTATAGCCCGCATTAAACAGAAGCAGCATAGCCACCTCCGAAAAAATTTATTAGAATAAACGAAAGGGGGCACCGGGACGTACAACAAAAAATCTACGGAAAATATTGGGGGATGGGGGTATCTTATGAGATCGAACCGTGAGAATAAATCCTCGAAGTAGGGCAGCCGATAATGGCGGAAGCGTAGAGTGGGCAGAAGATAATGAGGGTGCAGGTGTAAGAGGGAAGGGGAGCTAGATAACATGATATTCATTAAAGTTTATCGGGAGTAATTCAGATTGTGGTTTGTCAAGGATCGGAATTCCGTGGACACGAAGTCGGTATAGGCAAGTGAATCTTTCTGCCGTAGTTTGAATCAACCTGGAGCTCTGGAGATAGAGTACGGGAAAACCGGGGTCAACCTAAATCGGGATCTATTATATTTGGTTAATGTTCTTAAGTGGATTTATGATGCGTTTTTTGAGTGAACCTACCGTAATTTCGAAGAACTGCAGCGGGTCTTTTGTTGATATCATAAACAAAATCTCCCAGCTTAACACGAGTCTGTACGTCGTTTACTTCCTTGTATGCCTAAATGGATATGTATCCCCTCCGGGCGCTCAAGATACGGAGATTTTTTTTTTCTGAGCGAACATGATTGGACCTCCTGGATGGACATCATTTGCGACATTATTTTCAGAATGGGCATCCATTTCTCTCGGACTCTACAGTTGAATTGCAAGGAATCCGACAGATTCTTTAAGCGGCCAGCATTCACCAGGATTGAGGATTGGCGAGTTGCGCTAAAAATCAATCAACAAAAAAGGCACTTGTCACAAAACCTGGATAACGGTTCTCGGGCCATAATTGCTATAAACACAATGGAATAGAATAGGATTCGCTCCAATCGACTCGCTTTCGAATATGTTTCACTGCATCTAGTCGTCACCACCGAACCCCCAGCAGATTTGCTATTAGCATAATCGATCAATCCCTCAATATCTAAACAATTTTTTAGCCATGGCCCCATTTATTTATTAACTTATCGAGGTAGAATTTCCCATTGCGCTCTTTATTCAGCAACTCACTCTCTCAACTGTCAACGTCCTCAGCCTTCACGGTCAATTTGCTCATTTGTTCGGAGACGATCGTGGCCAGAAGTGCCTCGACACGTTCTTCAACAATTTTCTCCACTTGCACAGACACACCTTCTATCGACCTCGCTGCGATATTCTAAACAACGTTTGAGGAAAATTGAAAGGTCTTACTTTCTGCATGTTGACCCATTTTAACCTTGATCTGTTTTGCCATATCTTCTTTGCTCAGGCCCTTTTCCTTGGCCGCAGCAATTTTAGCCTCGATCGTTTTTCAGATCATACTATCAAGGCCCTCTGGCACTAATCCTTTTTTACTATGCGAAGTAATGAAGATTTTTGAAGAAAGCTTGCAAACCCACTTGGTTCAGTTGTCTTGTGCGAGTGGGTTTCCGCTTTCTCTAGAGATCTCAGATTTTTCGGATTTATGGGTCGATGGCGAAATGCAAGAAGGCCCAGACTGATGAAGCCCCATCCCCAGGAGAAAGTTATTCAGTGAGATGCTTCACTACCGCACCCTTGCCGATCTCGTAGTGGGTGAAAGCGATCATCTACTCGTTTAACGCCGAGGACGATGTCAATGAATACGCGGAAGAATGAGTAGAACAGGTCATAGAAGCCAGTCCAGCCACCGTGGAAGACATTTACGATCCAATTGTAGAAGTTGTGGATAGCGTCCGGAAGCAATGCTTGCGGGCCGCTGTAGACCCCGTCCCGTCGTTTCTTACGCCGCTGAAGACCGCTGCTGAGAAACCCCCAACGCTATCGTACAGCGATGAGAACATTGTTGTCGAGCTGTTGTGTCGCCTTGCTGGAGCCATCGGAAATTAAACGGTAGATGGCGGTCGGGAAGGCAAAGATCTTTCTTCCAAGCCAGGCGACGGCACGGTGAACGGCATTGTACGAAGAATTTCCTGCAGCACCGATTGTACCGGTGAAGTCAGTTGATAGATCTTCGGCCCATCAACGATCATTGCTGCCCCCGGCCCTGATGAAGCTCCCGGCCGTCTTGACTCCAGATGATAGCTTATTGTAGCCAGTAGAAGACGTCGTGAGTAACAGGTCACCGGTGTTCTTTGGAATCGAAATAACCTTCATTGAGGAAGCCGCCTGTCATCCGTGACAGATCAACTACGTCTGTAGCCCTCGTGAACTAAAGAAATAGAGAACGCAGAGAGATGACTACCGTCGTCGTTGCGGCTGGCCAATGAACCGACAGCAGGAATAGCAGCGGAAGCAACCACCAGCAATATCCGCAAACCCCCGCAGCCAAGCGCTTTCTTGCCTGGAGTGTTCCCGGACGCAAAAATCTTGGTTTGGGATCAAAGTGAGGTCATAGCAAAACCTTTTCAGTAGTCTTACGATTACGCAGATTATAAGATCGGGAATTGATATTCAAATGCGATTATTAAGCTGGTAGGATCCGCAAACTGAGAGCTGGAACTATCGATAGGGAAAGCATTTAGAGTTTTTACCGGACAGCTTCCACCGGAAACCCGCAGTGCCTGTCCGGGCCGTATCATAAATCCACCAGTTTCCAGGCCATTGTGGATGTAGAGTTTGCTCAAAGTATACACTTTTCGTAATAAAGAAAACAAGGCAAGATGTATTTCTGGAGGAATGGATCAGCTGTGTCTGTGGTGGCTATGCTTTATGCTGGATTTTCCATTTGACTGTGCCCTCCTGAAATTTAGTATTAACCCAAACTTGGTGACATATTATTTTTAGCTTCGAAAGATTTTTTGTGCAAAATGTACATCAATTCTGGTCGGGATCAGAGCTATATGAGGCAATGGTTTTGGCTGGTCTCGAGGCAGGTGTCAGATGTTTGTTGCCTCTCACGCGCTCCGTGACAGAAGATGCTTTGGATGGTCTGCCGCGTCGCAGCGGTAGTTTGTTGGTCAGACTTTCCGAATTCTCTTCAGAGACGACTTTCTCATGCTGGGCTCTTGGTGCAGCGCCGAAAAACTCAAAAAATAATTTAACTAATGCAAGAAATCCAGGCCAAACTTTTTAACGTTGAAGGAGTCGAAATATTGGGATGAGACCGGTATGTAAAATTTCTGGGTAGGCTATGTGGATGAGAGCAAATCGGTTAAAGAACGCTTTCTTTCTAAAACCAAATTTTGTGCAGAAGCAAGAATTATACATCAATTTTCTCACGGATGTTCCAGGGGAATCGTGCCGGGGGATAGGGGCGCCAGGCAGTACGTATAATGTAGCCGAGGGTATCCATATAGGGATGGACTTCTTCATAAACGACCGAAGCAGTCCGCACGTAACGGCCCCATGCTGAGAGTCGAGATACTAAATATAAATGTAAATTCTTCTCGAATGAACTTACAAAATTCTGATCAACTGGAAGTCGCTGACGACCTTGGCGCCAAACCACAAGTGATAGTGGGTGAACCATACAAGGACATTTATAAAAAAAGAAACTAAAAATGCTGAGTTTAGCATACAGCATTGGAAGCTACCTGGTTTATAGTAGCCAGATGATACCGTACAGCAGGAAGCCAGGGATAGAGCCTAGCAATCGTAATGAGAACATCAAGGAGTCCAGCGAAGGTAGTCTGAAAGTCTGGCTTCGGGGATCACGTCTTCGAGCTCACCTTGGTAGTCCCGAAAGAACTTTGTTGGTAGACACCACGATTTATTTTCTGCACCCCAGTGGCGGCGCTAAAACCAGTCAAATTCGAATTTGATAGGTGCTATCTTGATATCGGGATGGACGGTAGATCACGCTAAAATGCTTGTAATTGCAGTTTAAATTACCTATCAACATAGGAAAACCCGTGTCGACAGAGCGCTCCAAAAGCTCGTCTATCCTTCGACCGTTAGGCGAGGAGAACTAAATGGCAAAAGCGATTAGCTACACGATTCAGAATTTGCTATTGAAATAATAGCACTTACGTAGGTGTACGCAAAGGCGAATGTTCCAATCTGTAGCGGCGTGTTCGCCCAGATGAGCTGGGAGCACCATTTGGTGCATCCATCTCCAAACCTTAGACTAAGCTAGAACAAAATGAAATGGAAGAATCAGCTAACAAAAACAAAAAATCAGCGGTAGGTGCCGGAAAAAGGAAAACCCTGTCCCAATGGCCACTCTCGGAAAGACAAGGCAACTGCGTGGTGTTGCAAGTGGCCTGAAAGATGCCGCCTTTCGTGTTTGACATCGAGATGCACGCGAATGTTTGCTCGCACAAAATTATCCATACAGATTAGTGAGTCGCGCCAAGAATTACGCAATGCGAACGGCCGAAAATATGTGCAAAATTTCATTAGGTTTTCGACTACTCATTTTTCATTCATAGCGCATAAGTCAGTTGCAAGGTTTTTAGTGTTAGAATAAAAATATAGAGTTTTATGAAGCTTATTAGCAGGTTGCTGGTCTTCTCCAGGGCAAAAAGGTAGTTTCGAAAATTTCGAAAAGCGCGACGGAAAAAGATTTACGGGGCAGCCCAGGCCGCCTAGTCAATATTTATGATTCACCCTTGCTATTTCTCCAAGAAACCCTGAAACAGGGCCGGGAAGATAGAAAGCAAAATTAGAAATATTCTAGTTCAATAATTGCCTGAAAATGTTGTATGAATAAGGATTGTATTGGCGTAAACAGGGTGTGTGGGGGCCTTGTTCAAAAAAGGTGCCGAGAGGTAAACAAGGTCGTAGTGAACGAAAAGAACCGTTCTAGGCAGAGACGCAGAGACACGTTTGAACTTCTTTGGAGGGCAGCGAATTAAAATGGGTAATACAAAAGGTCTCTAGGAAATCAGTAGTGTATCAGAAACGTAATGTTATTCACGTAGCAAGTGCGAAATTCTCATGTTCTACTTGGATGGTTAAGAGAAATAAAGGCTATTCTTGGACGGGCTGCGTTGAGGATGTAAGCTTTCACCCAAAACAATCGCAATTGAATAGTTCTAGGACCAAATAAAAGGTTGGAAGCTTCTTGGGTCGCGAATTATAGACAAACAAAATCTATTTTTATCGAATGAGCCGGAGATGTCTTTGTGGTTGGACGGGAAATGATGGCCCTGAGTATGCAGATGCTTATGATGATGCCCCCAGGGCCTCCACCATAATTGAATCCGTGACACAGGAAAATAGCTGTGCTAAACGCTCTGAACTGTCTTTTCGAGCGTTTCGTACCGCGAGCTGACGACCAGATTAAAAATGACTTTAGCTCAACGACACGTATTATAGAGTTGGTCGCCTATAGCTTTCAATACATTTCGCACCTTAGATTTCTTTAGAACTAGGTGTATCTGTGTAAACCGTAGGGAGCGTCTAAAATGGTTAGCAGCATATATCCGAACAGCAAAGCCCAGGCAATAGCTTTGTCGTATACCGCCCCGAATGCGAGCCCCGAGAAATAAAAATCGAAACTGATTGATTATTCAATGACATGTCGATGCGGCCTGTGCGGGCAAGGTGGCGGCTCCTTTCGCAAGATTTATTATTAGAACGTTCCGCTTCAGCCCGTTGAGACGGCAATGTTTTGGGGTGAATGTGCGAGAGACGGCAGCCCTGTAAATTTACGGTTCAGGAATAACAGAGTTACGCTGAAGTTTCTACGGGCAAAACATGGACCCAATTCAAGGTACCATAATATGTCGTCAGGAATTCTGAAATTCGCATATTTTAATGATCTCTTCAGCGCATCATCCTCCGAGGTCGTCTATCTACGTCTACAGCTTCTGCAGCCGCCTGAAATCTGTCTCACATATCCAACAAAACCCCCTCATTTCCGATAGCTGGTTCATCTAAAAATACTTCGTTGCCACCTTTTTAGTAAAGCCTCCCGTATACTAAATTTCTCCCGGATTTGTGGAGAATAAAGGGATAGCTCTTGGGCGTCAAGAGCCGCTGTGTGGTTGGAGCAAGGCCTTCCCTCGTCCAATATGGGCCCCCTTTATCCCTCTGATGAAGCGCCGCGCTGGGTCGGCTGTCCGCAGAAATTCCATTCGAGTTTCCACTCTTGGGTCCTTTGCCACGGCTTGGCCCCTTATCCTCTTCCTTCTGGGCCGAAAAAGCGAGACGTTCTTGGCTTGTTCCATAGTGGTTCCGACAAACGAATCAGCGCCTTGTTAATTTGTGCGATTTTACAGTTTTTGATTTGGATACTGCAGTCAAAGCTACTTACATAGTAGTTTCACCGCACATGGTTTTTCGCCTCGCCGATCAATAACCTTATAAGCACAGCATTTGCGGCAAACAACCATTAATATCCCACCGCGAGACAATCCAAAAATGATTGCTTTGGAAGGATCTCTGCGGATTACCCCCCGGGACTGCTAATCCCGCTCAGGCAAAAAAGAAGGGGAAGGGCGACACTCAGGCGGGTAGGCACTTTCCGGGGCGAATTCTTGTGGGATTTCTTCCCGTAAGGCAAATACATATATTGGCATCGGTTGGTTGGCTTCCTACATGCCCTGCATGGGGTGGAGAAGATAGTTTGGGTCTTCAGAGTCTCCGGTTATTCAATTTGTTTTCTAGATGGGCAGTATTTCGGATTCAAGTAACTTAAAACTTTAACCGATTTTTTGACGCCTTAGACTCTAGTTTCATTTAATTTTTTTACCGTCCTTCTTCAAAATTCGGTAGATGCTTAGAATTTGCTACTACTTGATAATTCAAGCCACGTCGGAAAAGCTTTAAACCGATGACAAGACCAGCCCAATGCCTAAACAATTATCTATCTCCATTTTCCCATAAACAATATCATTTAGATACAGTTTTGATAAAAATCACCAAACGAATTATATTAGAGCTATATTAGAAGAAATACGGTAGTTTTTTTAAGGAAAACGTTTTGAACTCTACTCGTTTCAAGTGCATCAGACTTTTGGCCCCGGTTTGACTAGCCAATGGGAAAAAGATTCGTCTAGGCCTTTCCCTCGCTCAAACGCTCCCCCTTCCACCATCATTCTGTTTCCTTCCACTGAATAGCAACAATTAGCCGGATAGTAGCTCGACCCATCTAATCCATACAACGCCTTCTTCCCACCCGCTACTGCTCCCCTTTTACACACGCCCTCACACACTAGTTCATTTTGGGGTCTAGGATTAGAGCCATTTTCGTGTGCCACCCACCCGGGGGCTTATGGACAATGTGCCGTTAATTGGGGCTCCTCCTCCCTGCCATGACACCTTTATCCCCCCATGTATCGATGTCTTCATATCAATCTCTGCGTTTTTAAAGCCCCCCCCCCCGTCTGCCCTTTTATTTTTTATAACAATAGCCCATAACAAATGGCAGAATTAGTATTAGGCGAACAATCGCGAAAATTCGGCGTGTTTGATTTATGGTTTTTCCATTTATTTTTCCCAGGTATACCCGGGTCTATTTCTGGCTTTTAGGAGCTGCGGGCCAAAAATGGCCCGGAGACGGATTGTTGGCTCCCTGCGTCGCCGTCCCCATTCTGGCTTCTGCGGATTTTATGAAATTACTGCAGAAGGATCCGATAAAAGCTTTCATCGCCCCTTTCAGAACGGCCCAATGATTAATGGGCATCGATTCTCGGGGTTTTCCGTTATTTGTTGGGTATTGCGATGGCTTTTTGGGCTGCCTGCTCCTTGGCAATATTTTTCACCTCACCAGGAACCTTTGAAAAGAGCCATGAGGGTGATTTTTCCTTGTTGATGGCGTAAGAATAGAAAACACGACCGCGTAATCACACCGTCCCCTGTTTTCCCAGCCATGCACCAAAAATACTGTCGGCTTTTTCGCACGGTTGGCACCCGGCGGGAGCAAGGGAAGCCGTGTCGCCTTGGTGCCTAATTTTAGTCATTTTTCGCCGCCTGGTTTTAGCAGTTGCTAGGCGAAAGTTGTGTTTAATCCACATGAAGCTAAATATTTGTTAGACGAGATGCACAGACTTTCGACTGGATTTTAAGGGCGCATGGCAACGAAACCCTGCTAACCGAAAAACTGGCAAAATTTCTAGGTTTCATCAAATTTGGAATAATTACCCCAGGGTCCAACTCACTTTAGCCCAAAAATCTTTTGGAGCGTTTTTTCTTTAATTGGTAGTCTGCTAGCAATTGCATTACCTAAATTCTATTTTTGTTCTTGGCCCCAACCCCCATCGAAAAAAGCCATTTGATGCGTGCGGGAGGCTCCAAGATTATGAATTTCCGTTATGGGCGCCCACAATTACTGGGGACCAGATTAGGCGGTGTGCCGGGGTTGCTCTCTGCATCGCTTCGCCTGGGTTCTTTTTTGTTGTTTACCTTGGCTGGAAACGGGGATTCATTAGAAACCCGTCTTGACTGCGATTTCAATTCTTTGTGTGAATCCGGACATTTAAAGAATCCGTTTTAGTGGAGTTCCACACATCAGTGCGCTTGTGGGAATTGTCCGAATGAAGCGGGGCCATCGAAATTCGTGATAGAACTAGGGTTGAGGTCAGCAAGTGGTGGGTTTACAATTAGTATATAAATTTTCGACGGACAGTAGGAATTTTGGGTCTCATTGCTTGCCCAGTGAGATCAATAAAAGCGTGGACCCGCCTAATTGGTTACAGATCTAAAATGGATAAAGGGGGCCTTGGAAGGAAGGTTTCCATAACGTAGCTGGGATGCTTTAGGCTTTAAATAACGCTAATTGTAGTTTAATTTATAACTATGTTTAGGGTTGACCAGGGACAAGAGACGGTTCTCCGATGCGGAGTTGCCGATGCTCTGGACAGCCCCGCTACTCCTCGTCATATCGCTCTTTTTCGTCGGGGCCTCCACATTCTTCATCAGATCTCATATTCCAAGGTTCGTAGTCGCCCGGTTAAAATTAATTCGTACTTGTCGTTCAAACCCGATCCGTCTGCGTGTTTCTCTGAAATCGTCAGCCGGATATAGCACTTCAGATTGGTTGAATTTTATAATCCCAGTAAAAAACGTGTGAATCTCCGGTCACCACCACAGCAGTAAAGCACGTGCATTCCTGGGATTCCAATTAATGACTCAGAAATTGATACATCTAGGACAATGATCGTTGCGGGGTAGGTGACATTTATTTACAAAATCTAAGTGATAAAAGTGCCGATAAAAATAAAACTAGCTGCGGGAAATTGGCTTCGCCTCAAGTAATTCTTAGGTGTAATTCATCCTGGAAAACACCAACTTTTAGCATTTCTGCACAAAATCAATACCCGGGAACTTCCTCGGAAATCGAATCATCGCCAGAGGGTCCCAGTGGACTAGATAAACGGAAAGGCGGTCCAATTTTTCGCCAAAGTCCAAAGATCCACAAAGAAACTGAAAAGTTGATCTATATATCCTTATTATATATTTAAAAACTGATTGGAATTGCAGCGACAAGTCCTGCAACCACACGGCCGGCCACGAGTGCTTTGCCCTAATTTTCAGCCGGATATCAGCCATTTGCACCTCGGAGCCGTTGCAGTTCAAGTGCATCCATTACAACGTAGGATTTGCAAGGATTTTTGAAAAGCCCTTTATTTTAGTTCCTCGATCATTGCTTTAATCAACGCGTTGGATATTGTACTACCAATCAGGTATAGCGTTTATTAATATGCAAATTTTTGGGTATAGATCTCCACTTTTGCCCGCGTCGGTTTCAACGAGGCGCAAAGGAAATGCAGTGAATTTCATCCGAAAACATACCGAGAGGTGGGTCATTAATTTTTCCTTTTGACTATGAAAACATATTATAAACGACCCTGTCCCTTCTTTAGAATCAGAAAAATTACAAGACTTTCGACCAGTTGTTGGTCCCATCTGTAAGTTTAGGAGTTGGGATGATCTATCTGCTTTGCAACTTGATATAGATTGCAGTGTTTCCAAAGCTTAGCGCTATATAAAAATATATTTTTGATCTAGGTAATTCCCACCGCGAGATATTTCGCGTCAGTTTGGGGGACAGCAGACGCCGGGTCCCGGATTCGCAATTTATCGCAACGCTCGGTTACTTACAAACCCAATGTTCGGCAACACAGGTATTTATAACCTTTTACTTAGTCATATTCTAACGTTTTACACGTGGAGTCCAATAAAATACTACTTACCCCTTTAGAATACTAGTTGCGCTGCCGACCAGATGGAGAACATTTTTGAAAATTGTGAGCATGAAATTCGTACGAAAACTGCCAGCGCGCCAAAGGACAATGACTTTGATTTACACAAATTGTTTAGGTGAGTTTCAGCACTTCTCCTTCGAAAATAAGTTTCAGAATCAAACTTGACACCTCCCGTCGGTTATTAACATTCCAAGAGACCGAGAAGAACTATGAGTGCCTAATGGTAAAATGGGCGCTGAATAAGATTTATGACATACATACGCAGCATTGTTTTCATGTGAGTTTTTCAAATAAAAGCATAGGCTAAAAATTTCAGACAATAATGACTCGCTGCTTATGTGAGCGGGGTGAATTTGAGAAGCATTGTGGCGTGAAATGTGCTGATTTAGAGGTGAGATTTACCTTACAGATTTTACTGTACACTTAGGTCCATCCTTTAAAAATCAGTGAAGAAGAATGGGAAGAATTGCGATCTCGACTTCATCATGGCCGTGGTATACACAAAACAATCCCAATTCTATTGATATTGATTTGCCTCTCAACAATATTCTTTCAAGCTTTCGGTGAACATCAATGGTGAACTTAAACTCTTATATATTCCTGAAACTTAAACTCTTATATTAAACTCCCATCATTCGCTATTTATTCCTATACAAAAACAATTATCCGTGTGTTATGAATTACCAATATCCGTTTTCACTACGGGTCTTTCACTCTACTAGGTATTTCCACTTTTCCGATCCTCAATTAATATTATTCCCTTCCAAATAACTCCAGGCGCAACTTGGTCCAAATCATTTATCAAGTTCCATACGACTTTTATGACAAAAATACATTTGGGCGACAAATTTAATAAATATTTTATTCAGATGAGTATCGGTTGGAATAAGTTAATTAAAGTATTGAATCATACAACCCGTGAATAATATTAAAGCGAAGAGTGAGGGGAGAAGGGGCAAAAATGAGGAATAACTCAAAATTGGTGTTTTCTTATCTTTCCCACTTTCCTTCTTCTCATCACACCGGAACCGCGCTTTTTGCCTTTTTGAAGCGGCGCTTGTACCGAATTTTTCGGGTCTTCTTCTGGCTGGGATCTTCGCGATTTTTGAACGTTTTCACACCATGCAGTTCGATTTGTTCTCTAAAAGCGGATGAATTTTAGGAGAGGATCAATTTACGGCTTTGTTGTTCTTAGGTTTGTATAACATTCTTCTGGGTCAACATCTAGCAGTCGTGTACATGATTGAAGCCCTTCCAAATCTGACAAAAACATACTTAAAAAATATTTTTGGCAACCACCTTCACAAACTAACAGCCCACAGCTTCTTGGGCAATATTTTCGCACCTAAACGTTACATTGAGTTTTATCATAATTTTAATCACTTTTTGCCAATGTCGATCACACATCCCCGCCAATGCCCATTCACAACAATGGTGGAACGTATCGGATTTTATTTCTAAACGAGCTTATTAAAAGCGATATGCATCTCACCAAGACTATGTTCAACAATTATTCTCGCGTATCTTCGATCATTTTTCATTTTTTCTAGAATCTCCATATTCGGATCGCCGGATACTAGTGGATTGCGCTCGCTAAATACACTTTTTTTTTGATCAATTTTGCTCTTACCTCGACAAAGGTCTTTTAATGGAATATATAAGGGTTCGTCCAGTTTTCTTGAAAAATTGTTTAGGCACCGATGGCGGTCCTTGGGGCTGTATTAATTCAGGGAAATTCGTTGTGGTGGTCATTGGAGGCTAAACAGCTTCGACTTGGTTAATTTTTAAGGCATACCAAGGTCGTTGCTGGATCTCTATGCTTCAGATATGGATCCGGTATATTCCTAAAATCTTCCAGCTCACCGCTCTCGTCTGGCGGACTACCGTAACTGCCAAAGGCGTCTGAAAACAGGGGTGATTTTGTGCTAGGAAGTGGAAGATTTACCAGATTCGGCGTTGTAAGCCGGCTTATCATCGACTTGGGCCGGGGCCTCTTCGGGCAAAATCGGTTTTATATCTTCGGTCATCCCATATCCGTTGTCTATGGGGACTGAATTCAGGAGGGAGTCTAAAAGGGAAATTTGCGGAATAATCGGGAGGATGGGTTGTCCACTTTGCTCTGCCTGCTCCAGTTCGTAGGCCTTCTCGAGGGTGTCATAAAAAGCGAGGTCGCTTTCGCTAAACGGAGACAATATTGTAGGGTTGGGTTTAGGTTTTGGGATGTAGATAAAGTTTCAACTTACGAATATGTCGTGGAGATGAGCGTATTTGGGGTAGGCGAGACCCCAAGTGAATCAGCGTAGGGGTCTGAAAAGCGGGTTTTTTTTTAAAGTTGCGAGGCGCTTTGGTAGTATCCGATTCATTCTAGGGACGAGCGGCCATTTTTTTAATCGTATTGTCGAGAAGCCAGATTCGAAAATCCTTTTTCGACAAAGAAATTTTGCGAAAGCTATTTTTCTTGAAAAGCCATTCGAAACCTATATTTTGGGAACGACATATTTCGAAATTACATTGACGACAAACAAAAAGTTTTCGAAAGTTTTTTTTCGACAAGTTGCTCTTTCGAAAAGCCGCCAAAACACTATATCTTCAGAGCTAAGATCAGAACTTCGAAACTTTACATTACTCTTTCTTTCTCGGGGTGGAATTTCCTAACGACTAGCGCCAAACCTTTCAAATTCTGATTTTCGAAAATCATGCTTTCAAACTGAACTTTCGAAAATTTTGACGGAAATCATTCCATATCCTTTCGGTGCATATGTTCTTTGGAAAGTGCGTACTAGTTTGTTAGAGTTGAGGGCTAGCCTATGACTGGATAAATATGGCACACACAACACACCTCCGCTCTGTATAAATCCGGCATTGTTTGTGCGAGAACTGGTGTCAGGATCTGTTTCTTCTGCTGCTGCTGCTGCCCAGGTGTCCGCCTAAAACGTTGTTTGCCCTCACAAAAGAATGCAGTGCACACCGGAATCCCCGAGGGCACTAAAACAGCGGGAGGCTGGCCCGGCTGGCTGGGGTCATCTCCTGAAAATTGGACGATTGAAATGTTGCAACCGAACTTCACGAGTTACCGAATTTCCGCAAGGCTAGACGGGTTTGTGGAGTGTAGATATTGTTCGAAATTGTTGATGCCGTGTGGAACGTCGTGCTAATAAGAGATGATTTTTTCGGGTCCGGAAAACGGATTGAAGCATTACTCATTTTATAGAGAAGCCAAATCTGAACAATATTCGGTTGTTGATTTTTACAAACCGGCAGCCCTTAATTAAAAAAAATTGTAAGTTGAATCTTACCCAGACTCCTGCTATTTTTAAATGAAATCTCGAATAAACGTTTTTAAAAATGAACTACCAAGAATTCTTGAAAATTGAATGAGGCATATCTATAGCCGCTCCCCGGATGACCTAACATAGAGTACATTTGTATTTGCTTACAATGGCTCCTCATCGAAAAAATGGTTGCTCATGTTCTGCTCAGAGGTATTCGAGCTCGTTGAGTTCAACTTCCGGATCTTTAAAATCTCCTAGATCCCGGATAATTTGTATAAACCAATAAAAACCTGAAGCTTTGGTGACCTCGAAACAAGCGGGAATCCTAAGAAGAGGAATAAAAATATAACCTCGTCCTTAAAATACCTGAATTCGGTTCCCCGGTTTTAAATGCAGTAATATTGCTGTAAGGTGTTGCGGTACTAATTTTTGTGTTGATTTTGAAAGCTGGTGCAGTTGTTCTAGAAATAGTAATCAAACAAATTGAAAAAAAGAAACTTGCCGAGCTGGCCAGGCTGGTGTTGCCTTCCGTGGGGTAGTGGGGGTCGTAGAAGACCACCCCATATAATCTCTAATGCCAGCAACGCAAACGAGCGGTACTGCAGAAAATTAAACGTCGTATTTGGAAGGGTTTAGTTACACTCTCGGCACATTTGTAGATCAATCAAGGTGTTCGTAAGACATATTCCTGTTTCCGGGTTACATTCGATCGAACAATTGGCAAAAGCCGGCAGCCATTGAGGACTCGAAAAAGGATCACCACCTAGAAAATGCAGCTTCTTTTCAAAGGGCATCCGATCCCTTTGTCTACTTTTTTGAAAGTCAAAAATTATACGGCTATCAGAACCCTATAGGCTACGAGCGGATCAGGTTCAAATTCAGAGCAAAATCTTACACTTTTTATCGTTTTCGTAGATATATCGGAAAACGAGTTTCATTAGATACATATCATGCTCGTAGGCGTGCAGCGCGAAAATCCAAAATAAGAATGGCAGTAAGTAGCATCGCATTAGCGCCGCGATGTCTTTTCAAAAACTGAAACGGAACATTGGTGGAATCGCTGAAATAGGATCGCGAAAAGTTTAAAATAAGGTGCATCTACTTTTGTAGAAAAGAGATAACCGTATTTATTGAGAATAAGTGGCACGAGTGCCTTAATTTCCCGTAAATTCAAATAAAGTTTCGAGATCGGCCACTTGCAAGCTATATCGAACCGAAACAGTGGGCTGCCCTGCCCAGAGTGCCGATCTAAAATGACTGACCAGAATCTCGCGGTCGAGATGTGGGAGTACAGCTCCCCCTCCTCCTCCCCTTTGCCCTCACCCCTATTTGGATAGAGCAAGCACGAGCTCACGAGAACCAAGGGAGTCCCGGGATCTCCCATACATAGCAGCGACTAGATTTTTGGCCAGGCCGCACGTAGACGTCACAGTTCAATTGGAGAACTCCATTTCGAGGGCAAAGATTTATACAAGCATTATTTCGAACGTATCACATCACTCACAGGGAAAATATAACAACTACACAAAAAAATTTACGCGATCATCACATCACACTTAGTAGACCCAAGAAAAGAATTATGGTTGTGGCGTTATCGGCGTTCGGCTCAAGCTAGGTTTAGCAAGTATCGGGCCATTACCTAAATATAGAGTTCATAGTCATCTCTTAAAAAATACCGACCTTAATGCCCTTGATGTAATTATCACGATTGATCTTTTCATTCTGCGAATGGGCCATATCATCAGAGGCGCCAATTGGGAGGAGCAACACATCCGAACCGGTGATCTCCTAGGAAAGGTAAATTTATAATTTATATAAAAGGATTTTGGCCGAAAGGACTGAAAAGCAACAACAGAAACTATAGTACCTGGAAAAGCACGGTGATTGGGATTGAACCACCCTCCCGGGTGCGATCAGGCTCGACACCATAGATAGCCTTCACAGCATTCGCGCCTGCCAAGAAATTCTCGTTGAACGGGTTCGCAATCCACGGGCGGCCAGCGTGTTGAGGAGTCACTCTATCAAAATGATAAAAATACATCGCACATTTTTACTTGAGCTGATTAGGCGATCCACGTGTTTCCCAAAGCTTGTTCAGATGCTTCACGACGCAAGCATCGACCTTCTCCGGCGTCATATCAGGCACAGTGCGGATGGAGAATTTACCGACAACCTAAACAAGAGGTTCAATACTGCAAACGGGACGCACCTTGGCTGGGATGACCGTCTTGCAACCACTGCCAGCAAAGGCGCCTTCAATTCCGTGAATGGATAGGGATGGGTAACGCCAACGGGCCTTCAGCAGCTCTTCTTTCGACTTTTTCGTCAATCCACGAGCGCCAAGGGTATCTCTAAATGAAAACACTATTTCTTGTCCTTTAGAAAATCCGCACTTGTAGTCGGCAACGTCAAAATCGATCTTGGCATATTCAGCATCTTCGACGTCAGTCAATGGTGCAATCATCTCCGAGAGACCCTGAACATATGATCCTCGTCGCGACAACGGATGCATACCGTAATATTGATGCTGCCATCAACGTTTACTAGCGTAGACATCAGCCACGTCAGATCGGTCATGGCTTCAGGACTAAGAACAAAAAATTTATTTGAATCGAATGAATAAACGCTTACATGCTCCCGCCGTAACAGCCGCTGTGCAAATCCTGCTTCGCGCAAGTGATTTCAACAAAGAAGTAGTTAATACCGCTAAAGAAATATGAATCATAGATTTTAAAGAATACCGCAGGCCATAGGTCAAGCAGGGCTTCGTCTTGCCGAGGAAATAGTTATCGGAGATGCAGGTGTAGTCGACATTCTTGAAGAATTCCTTGTTGCTCTGTAGAGCTTCGGGGAGACCCTCGGAGCCAACCTCTTCCATAGATTCGAAGACAAACTGCAAACGAAACCGAATTAATTCGTTCACGCAAATTTTGTTACCTTGAGATTGACTGGGATTTCAATTTTGAGCTCGTTTAACTTTTCAATAGCGATCAGCCACCCCAGCACAGGCCCCTTATCATCAGTCGATCCGCGGCCGTATAATTTTCCATCCTTCTCGGTAAGAACAAACGGATCGGTGTCCCAGCCATCCTAAACCGAAAAGTTTCCAAATTTCAAGTAATTTAACCTCCTTAGCAGCCGGCTGAACGTCCAAATGTCCATAAACCAATAGCGTCTTCTTGCCGGGCGCATTCCCAAGCTCAGCAAAGAGAATAGGAGGAATCTACAATTAAAGAATAAGCGTAAAAAGCCAGAACCCGACCTCCTGCATTTTTCCATTGACTTCCTTCTGTCCAGCCGGAACGAACTTTGTCGTTGCATGTAGCTTTTCCTCCAAGAACTATAACAAAGGATTGAAAATCGGGAAAGCTAACGAACCGTCTTTACATACGCCGTCGTCTTTCTGCAATCGGGCCAATGTTCCAGTTCGGCGGAAATGGATGGGATTGCCACGAAGTCGCGAAGGAGGTTGACGTAGCGCTCGGCATCCCGGTCAATGCTCCTAAATGGAAGATATAAAGTGATACAGAAAACAGATATCTTTTACACCTCTAAATAAAAAAATATAAAAACCAACTGTGATAGTTCATCCATTGAGGCCATTGCGCAATCAACGTAGGTTCTGAAAAAAGATCAGTTTACAACATTATAGATCAGGAAAGAGAAAGTAAAAAAATAGACACCCGAATTCCATAACCAGATAGCAATTAATGCCGAGAGTTTTGAGCGTCAGAATCGTCAAAAAGAGTGAGAGGGAACACGGATTTTACAAACAATCGGAAAGGCCCTCAGATGCCGGGTATAAACGCACACTATCAAAAACAAACACACTGTCGGGCAGGATGACACATTTTATGTGGACAAAAAACAAGAGCATTTTATAGTCGTAAATAAAATTCTTAGAGGGCAGACACACACAAATACATCTATTGTTTTCGCGAATTAGTCAAAATAAGTTTTTAGAAAGCCAAGAAAATAACGAGAATCTAGTGCATTTGAAGGGCTTGGCCGAGGACTTTGTTCCTTCTTCTAATGGGGAGGTGTCCCCGTAATCCTTCCCTGTGAAACTGGCCCATTTTCTAACCCCCAAGAAGAGGCTGGTCCAAATCAGGGGTGCCCTGCAAAGGAATAAGAGGTGTCTAGCCGTATAATCTCGGGTTCATTCTTCCTCGAAATGATAAGGGTGAAGCGTGAAATTTACACAAGGGCATTTCCATAAAATGATCCCGCATCTGATCGTTTGCACTTTGAAATAAGCCGAAGAAAAAACCCGACAACAAAGGAAGGGGGAATTTGGCGGTGGTGTGACATACATATAAACCAATTAGATCAAAAATGACCATTATGGGTTCCAGGGGTTAAAAATACTATGAATTTCCCTTTTTGAAGTTTTCAAAGGATTTTATTTAGTTTTCGGTGTGAGAATAAGGACAAAGGTCGAGCCAGTAAAAAAACCAGTTACCCGCACTGAGTATCTCCAGAGTGCAGGTGTTTTGTGGATCGTGTCGGAAACCGTACAAGGCTCCTAACTAGCATGGCTTACTGTAGATTTAATTCCACTAAATTATTGAAAAATGATCATTTTGTCAGACTTTAGAAATAACATTGGGTCACGGATGTCTGGTTCCGCCGTCTCGACCCGGCGATCTAGCAAAGCGCCCTTTTACCGGCCTTATCAGTGACAGCTAATCGAATATCTGGACTAATAGCAAAAACCAGAACACGGCGGCGAGGATTTTAGAATGTTGCGGAATAAATTAAATAAATTAAAGCGGCCATAAGAAAGAGGTGAATGCATTGAAACATACCTGCGTTTACGGGCATGACAACTTTTGTTAGAAAATTTAACAACAAAACAACAACAACAACAGCAACAAAATTTGTTGCCACAGATTTTCGAAACGAGATCGGGACCAACTTGTTCAAAATTTTGCGCTAGTAAAATCGTATTTTGTAGAATCTGCGAAGCGATTAGATTGAAGAAATTACGTAGCCTAAAGGGCGGAAAATGACCAAAGTTCTACATTGCTAGCTTTTTAGGCTCTCTAACTTCAGCACACTAAAAAATCCTTCTCGTAAGTTTACTATCGCGTTAAGGTTCATATTCCTCGTCTATTGACATACTACAGTGACTTTGACGCACTGAAAAACATAATTTTAAAGAGGTACCTGCCTGAAACGGTCACGGCAAGCGAAGGTGCTTGTAGGTAGTGCTAATGTGATTATTGCTCTTTCGTCTTCGCCCTGTTTTGCCCAGCCATCGCCAAAGACACCTCTTCTCGACGTAACCTAAAGATGGCAAACTGTTCCCTATTGTTTGCTGGATGCCTCGTCGTGTTTCGAGCCTCAAACTGTGATGATGGTTGAGGGGGAAATGGAGAGTTCCCGCCCCTCACTCCCCATGCCACAATCCACAACCCGACCCACAATATTCCGAACTCTGCCATCGTCGAGATTATGAGTTTGCTGCTTGTTCTGCTCTTGTATTTTGGTACGGTGTGTGGAAAAGAGATTTTATTATTACCCTTAACGGGTTGCTATTCACACGATGTGATGATGCGCGAAGTCGGGGAATCTTTTCCGCAGGGGACAAATGTTACTTGGATTCAGACGAAGGTTTTGATAGGCGGGAGTATAATGTTTTTCTAAGGTGTTCCCGGTTGGCAGGTCTGATTTTAGTCTTCCACGGAAATGGCGAAAAATGATTCTCACCAATAATGATTCAGAAGGTTATATTTCTACACGGCTAATTGTAGTGTTCAGGACAAAGAATCGCCGAATATTCACAGAAATTTCTTTGGCAAAGTTATCATCCATTTGGTAATTTTTAAGTGGCACAGCCAGGGAGTTGAACATCTATGAACATCTGCTTCTCTCTCTCTCATGCTCTCTCTCTCACTCTCTCTCTCTCTCTTCTCTCTCTCTCTCTCTCTCGCTTCCTCAGTAGTTCTTCATAAATAGGGGAATACGTACTAAACCTGAAGTTGCTGTTTAATCCACCTATCAATACCCTTCCAGACGATGACGATGTGTTTGAGATGCGTGGCATGATAGCCTATCAGGAATTTGACAGTCGTCATGCTGAATATTGCCACATTCTTTATCATTCCGCCATGTTTCAAGATTATCTTAAAACCGCTAAACCGGACTTGATCGTGGTGGATTTCCATGTGAACGTATGGCTTTCCGAAGAGTTACTGTAGCACATTTCAGGACTGCATTTCAGCCCTTTCCTCTCTCTTCAACACAACGGTCATCCATTTTTCGAATTGGCCTCTGTATGATATATACCTACGAAGCTTTGGCGTGACTGGCACTAGTCCTGCTGCATATCCAGAGACAGGTAGCGTGAACGATAGCAGAAACCATTGACCTGATTTAGCAATACCATACACCGGAAACGGGATGAATTTTCTGCCAAGATGTGTCAATGCGATTGCGCGTGGTATGAAATATTTCATACGAGCTATCGGAGAGTATCGGGCACGGAGAACGGTACCGGGGGTTGGTATTTTGAGGTATATTGATTTATTGCTAACGAGAAGTATGGTAAGTTCGGATAAAAGGTCACTCGATTAGGTCGAAGGCTGTGTTATTTGTGAGTGTGAAGATAGCTTGAAAACAGAGGTGTCGGGGAGAAAGTGTAAGCAAGAAGTGCTAATGAAAGCGTACCTCCCAAACAGTACAAAGCACGGGAAGTTCTATCGCAAGAAAAATACGATGTTCTTTCGCACTTTACGGCACGCGTATCCTATGTACAGTTCAAAGCTTGGGGGCTTTTGTACTTAGAAACAAAGCTGCTATGAGCTGGACATCGACCTCTAATTAGACCTTGCTTTCTTTGACCTATACATATCATCGTTGTTGTGCCATTTAGCATGTGCTACCCTTTCTCTCATCTATCCCCATCCGTTCCAAAAACGGCCGTACCCACCACGTGCCGTACAAAACAACCCCTTCGCGGTGATTTTCGCTCCCCCGTTTTTGCCGGCCATGGAACATTCTCCGTTTTAGGTGTCGATGCGAGAGATCGAATCACAGCGGCTATTGTATGCTAGTCGTTACCAATTTTTGGTCGAGCCCGTGCGCCCAATTTCGCATAGGATACGGTACTTTGGGTATAATGCGGGGTTGGCGAGGTGAGCAGAAGAAAGAAAACAAGCAAAATTGTTTGGAAGGGGTGTGGAACAGGTTTGACAGGGCCATGTGGCCCTAGGAATTGTTATGTTTTGTTAAGAGGCCATTTGGCCGAGGTTGAGGGAGGTGAAAAGTGTATGGGATTCTTGTGAACGGGTTCGAAAAAGAGGCTGACCACTAGATACACATGACTTACGATCCAAATTGCCGGCAGACATGGCTGAAAAGCTACAAATCGCCTTCCAGCCAAATAAGGAACAATTTTCGACGATCACATTTTGCTTCCGGATATTTGTCTCTATATGCAGTTTCAGATCTGAGGACCTTCAAGTCCCTAAAAACGCGCAAATAGCCCAACACATTCCTACAACGGTAAAATTACGACAATTAAATGGTCAGAATGCCAGCAATAATGGAGCCGACCGATCTGCCTGTTTGTTTGCTGATCGGAATCAGGTTTTTCGCCCTTGCTCGTCCACTAAATTTGCTGACACAGAATTGTACAAACGCCTGTCTGACCGCGACACGCACTCTCACTTTCTTGGATGAACTGGAATTGGAAGATCTGCTGAAGCGGGATTATGTGCTCGTCACTTTTGGCAGTCTGGCCCGGGTAAGTGATCTTAATCTTTGATGATCACAAAAGTTAAAGTCAGTAAATAAGTAATAAAACTCATTTCTCTAACTTCCAAAATACTTATTTCTAGGTCTCCTACATGACTCGAAAACATTTCCACGAAATGGTCTCTGCATTCGAAGTACTCCCCTATCCAGTGATCTGGCAGGCCGATTTTACATCAATACAAAAATTCGAGGGAATCAAGATCCCTCAAAATGTACGTTTTGCTGAATGGCTTCCGGTAAAGCGGATGCTAGGTGAGTTCACTATCGAGAATTAATCCACATTAGGGACGAGCACGCTGAAATTTATCATATCGCATGGTGGTGTGAATACACTTAACGAAATGTTACAAATGGGGGTGACTGGAATATTAATGCCATTGCAGGTAGGCATCTAGCAAATTAGCATATTTAATAAAATTTAAGGGCGACCAGGGTAGTAATGCGCGACGACTGCATGATCTGGGTGTTGTTGAATACGTGAAACCGCACCATATCAAAAGAGACGTATTTGCAAGCCAACTCAGCAACTTTGTTTTGAAGCTTGAGAGGTAGGTTGTTAATGCTACATTTTTCTGAAATATCACCCTCGGAAACAAAATTGCTGGCTAATATCTCAAAGTTCAACATCGAAAAAGAGTGTGGCTCTCACTTTTCGCTGATGCCCTTTCTGCAGCAGACTCCGTTCCACTCCATTGTCGATTCGTACAAACGCGGCGCGCTGTGCGCTTGCAAATTGACCTGCGGATAAGGTGTTTTTTAGGATGCAAGCCCGGGCAGCGAAAGTATCCGATATGTTACACAATCACGGGCGACTAATGCAGAATAGCCAGTCATTTTGGTTCCAGTGGGCTTTGAGGTAATCCTATAGAGTTATAGTAATTGTTCAGCATTTCCTCGATGTAAAATATCCTTAATTCCAGGCACGGCTCAAAAGATGGTGTGAAAAAATTAATGGGGGTCGGCCAGCTGCACGACTGGACGTACGATTATTTTATTTGCCTTATTATTTCATGTTTTATAACATTTATGATTTAATGTACATCTTTGTATATATATATATATATATATATATACTTTATTCAGTAGTTGAATAAGATCAGTATTATTCTAGTCAAATTTATGTAAATCCTATTATCAAAGCTCACTATACAATGTCATTGCGGGTCTTGGCGAGCTTCTTCCTTTTTCTTTGCTGATCTAATCCTTTATAGCTATGCAATGAAGATTTCTAGCCGATCGATATCGTTCAATACACGTGAATACAAGTTATCGCGGCGATCAAATTTAGAAAAAACTTATCAGCCCCTTTTCGCAACATTCAGTGGTGCCTGTCTTTTCGGGGGTCTTTTTGCTGGCGCTTCGTTGCACTATGCCGCCGCTGGCCAAACGAGGAAAGAAGGTATTTGATTTGGTTTTATTGTATGTTATGGGTTTACAAAAAAACCAAGGCTAGGGCCAAAAACGGATACTTCCAAAAAACGTTAGAAGCGCTTACCCCGGCTGACCTCATCAATCAAATCGGATCAGCTCGAATACAAATACAGATCCCTCACAGATCCATGGGGGCCCCCAAGAATTTGCACTGGCCACAGCCTGTCAGAAATGTTTGCTCATTACGGTATCGGGTCTACCTGGGGGGTTCGCAGGATCATTGACCCAAACAGTCAGCCAGTAAGGGTATCTCTTCGATTATTTTATCTATGATGTATCCGCAACATGATTCGCATATGATGCAGGTTGGCATTATTATTGTATTATTTACCTAAATTTAGTAGCGACATTATTTTGTTAATTTTTGTATTCATTCGACAATTTCGAAATTTGTCAAAACCGTGTTGCGGAGATCTGTGAACGCGATGAAATAACTCTATATTACAAAGATTTCGTTCGGTGTAACATTCGTAATTAGCATTGATAGATTAGACTTTTTAACGTCATCTAAATTTTCTCGATTTTTTTTAGGCTCACGTGGTAGGTGTTACAAATCCCCTCACATACGAAGATGCAATCGATCCCCTCATGGCAGCCCTCAGCCAAATCGCAGCGAAAGAAAAGCTGATCCCACCGCTACTGTAAGCGTTCCGTCTCAGACTTTCACGATATTCAGGGAGAATTTCTCTAACAGCATGTACTTTCGGGCTATGTTTGATGTTTTATGCGATCGGAAGAATGAGAACGGTCTGGGATCGGGGATTGTCGCAAATTCACGTCTGCTTTCAGCCCTTCAAGCGCATGTATTTCATTTTATGAAAGAGGAGGAGACGGATAGTCAGGTCGATTTGATGTTGGTATGTTTTTAATGGAATCGTAGGTTATAAAAAAAATTGTATTTAGGAGCGATACTTCTCCCAAGCCGAACATGGTGGACCGTGTGATGCTGAAGATGAAACTTCAAGGTACTGTAGAATAGGCGTAAAATTTTCAATTAACATACCGCATTTTCACCATTAAAATGATTTTTTCCGGTGTGCTTAAATAAATAGCAGCACTTTTGCAATCTTGGCCGTTTCTCCTGTAAAAACCTGTAAAGCACGATTTAGAAGTCGAAAAATCCGAAAATGTCTCCTTTTTCCACATGATGGCATTCTGACAAGTTTATAGAACGGGCAATACGGTTTTAGGCCTGCTCACCTCGATATCGAAGAAGACTACAAATTCCAAATGGCTGCCCTCAAAAGCACCTTCGAAGGCTCGAAATCCGAGCTCCAAGAGGTAAGTCCCAGCCCAAGGGCGCTGGTTGGCTGTTGCCCAGTCTGATAGTGTTACGGTGGCTCAAGTGCATTACAAACATTCGGCCATCCATCAGGGAAGGAGGACTTTTCTTCTGTCTTCCCCATCAAACATCCATCTCCTAGGAGTGTGACAAGCTGAAGAAGAAGGTTGCCGATACGCTGGAACTGCAGAAGGCGTTTAGGCCTGTTACGGAAGAGGTCAGTTTACGGCACTCCACCAAAGGAGTTTCTTTCAGGACAAGCGGAAGGCTATGGACGCCATTGAAGATCGGTTCCAAAAGGCCGAAAATCAAGTGAAGCAAGTTACTTGTAACCAGGCACTCATCTTAAGCAATTCGTGTTTGGATGCCAGGTAGAGCTGAAATTAAACGGCTTGAAAGTTGAATATTAGGAGGAAGCGCAGAAATTTTTCTAAAGAAGCGATCGCCATTCTGCAAGACTTTTTCGTCACTCATGTCAACCATCCGTATCCGACCGATGAGGAAAAAGCGGATTTGGCCAAGAAGTGTAATATAACTGTCCAGCAGGTTGGTTTAGCTGAACATCAAGAAAGTATTATATTTAGGTATCGAATTGGTTTGGTAATCGTCGAATCAGACAGAAGAAAGTGATGCCGGCGCAAATGAAGCATTATGCAAATATGTTGCAGGTTCCCTACGTTATTGGTAATTTTTTGAACGTAAGAATATAGCGTAATTAATTAGGTCAACAAGGTGGTGTACCGAAAATTGAGGCGACTTTCCTTCAGCTACAACAACCTTCAAGCTCACAACTTCCGGTAATCCCATAATGCGTCCATAGGCATGTTTTTTTAGGGTCTACAACCATTCCTTCATGATCCTCAGAACAATCCCGATACTACCCATCAGGTATCAACATTTCACTCCTCAATTTACCATACTTTAGCTCTCATGTGTCTACGGTACCTCCATGGCGAATTTGTATCCATAACTCAGTTTGCAAGCCCGAATATTTATTTTAATAAAAACACTTCATTTCAATCACACATCGGCAAAGCAAATAAAACGCACTAATTTTGATTCATCATCTACAATAACCGCAGGAGCTAACCATAATAATTTTTTTTGCTTAATGTTTTGGTCTGGCTCGGAGCTCGTTAAACCGATATGGTATTATCACTGTTGATTAGCGAAAGAATCCGGGGAAGGGGGGACCGTTGTGAGCTATTATGCAGAATCGATACGGCTAATAGTAGATAACAAGAAATATGTGGTAATTACTAAAACAAATAATTTGAACTAGACAAGTTGTGCATCTTTAGCCATTGAATAGAAGACGCCATTCTTGTTTTCAAGCAATGTCCTTGGAGCATCAAATTCAACGATTGATCCTCGTTCCAGGACCATTAAACGGTCCGAATCCATTACCGTATTTAGTCTAAACCATTATTAAGACAGATGAGTATGAAGTTGTACCTATGGGCGATGGTAAGCACTGTGCACTCGCTGAATTGCTCTTTGATTGTTTTCTGAATAAGTGCATCGGTTTCCATATCAACTGCCGCTGCAGCTTCATCCAGAATCAGGATCTTCGTTTTTCTGAGTAACGCCCTTGCCAAGCACAACAGCTGTCGCTGGCCCACACTAGTAAAAGATGATACTTAATTCTACACTCTCGCCTACCTCAAGTTGCCACCTCCTTCCTGGATCTGATGCGAAAGCTTCTCCTGCAAATCACCGACAAACGAACCAAGATGGGCGTTGTCAAGTGCCTGCCAGATTTCCGCGTCCGTATAGGTTCTAAAAATCATTATTCCTATTTTTTTTGGGTACTTACTTGAAAGGATCCAAGTTCATCCTCAGGGTGCCGGAGAACAAGACTGGATCTTGAGGAACCACAGTCAAACGAGATCGGAGACGCTAAAAAATGGAAAGCTTCTCATAGTACTTACAATGATTCTCACCTCCAGTTTCAGTTTAGCAATATCGACATTATCGATGAGAATTATTCCCTTTTCTGCTTCAATGATACGGAAGAGTGCAAGCGTCAATGACGACTTTCCGGCCCCGGTCCTTCCAACAATTCCAATCTTTTCCGATGGTTTTATGGTTGCATTGACTTCATAGAGAACAAGGTCCAATCCGGAGCGATAACTAAAATATGATCAAATTGATCCTATGAATTATTCAAAATACCGTAGTGACAGATCCTTGAAGATGATCTCCCCAGTGCGTGGCCAATCTTTTTCCTCCGGGATTTCATTTGATTCCATGCCTTCCCTAGGTGTTTCTGTGTATTCCTTTATCCTTTCAACGGCCACAATGTTAGTCTCGAGCTCGCTGGTCATTCTGACGGCCCAGTTTAGTGTTTGCGTAATCTAAAGATCGTAATTTTAAGCTTCACCAGGGTTGAAAAGCCGCTACGCGACTTTTCAACCCTGGCCCCGTTTGGGCCCATGATATTCTTCACTTTGCATAATTCGCCCGGGCTGCGATGAAAAAATAATGAAAAACGCTCCCTCTGCCCCTTAATATAGACCACCACCACTTCCGGCGTACGCAAATGGTTTCCTAACAAAGAGGATGCCCGAAAATTTCACAAAAACCTAAATTTAATGTCGAAAATAGCATAATTTGCAAAATCTGATAAGCTTGCAGTCATCCCAGAGCCATTACGCACCTAATGACGTATCATACATACCTAACAATTCATCCCCTATCGAGATATCCTCCGGACACGCTGACGGAAGTTGCATGCAAAGTGTCATACACACACACACACACACAGACACTATTTTTTTATATATAGTAGGATTAGTTAACTCAGACGTACGTTTAGAGCATAAGAGACCGACAATCCGACCAGACCGGCCGTCAAGCCAGGTGTGTCACGGAACAGGGCTGCGAACAAAGCCGCAAACAACACGATCATATTTCCGATCAGTTCCAGTCGAACAGCTAGCCAGCTAAATTCACGAATTTAAGCGATTAGTTTTATGTAAATTACCGATTAGCAACAATACTCGGATAATAGGTAGCCAAGTTATCATCGACCCTGGTCGCAGATTCTTGGATGAATTTGTCGACAACATTGTAGGCTCGGATTGATGAAGCGCCTTGGATCGATTCCTAGATTTAAGGTATGGCCAAATACTAGAACTTACTTGGAAATGCGAATAAATCGGCGAGCGTGTCGTCGATTCCAAACGTTTTAGTTGACGAGACGTCGATACATAGAAGCGCTAAAATTTGAACATTACTTGCTGTTTAAAATGCGATAGTTAGTGGGCGGACATGCACATATAACACGAACATATTGGACTTTTGCGAACGTAAATAAAAAAAATTAAGGATCTATACAATTTTGTAACGCAAAAGACCAACACCTGACAATTATTAGCAAGGTAGATCGACAGGCACAAACACTATAAATTATTAGGTGTCTAAATAACAAAATTCCGGAGAGTCGACTGGGTTAGAAACAGAAGCTAGGGGATTTTTCGCACATCATGTGGGGTTTAGAGAGTAGTACTTTAGACACCCAACAACACTGTGGCGCACCAAAAGCAGGGCATATAAAGCGGCAAGCGGTAGGGTGGACGGGATAATGATTGGGCTCGCCCAGCCGAGTACGATCAGAATTTCAGCCACGTTCAGAACGATTCGCGTGAAGGACAGCAACGAGCGGGGTAGGGTGGCGTCTATCGCATCCACATCCTGACTCGGTTAATCGGGGGAAATAAGTGGACAAAGGTTTTAAAGCGCTTTTTTAAGGTTAAAAGGCTTAACATAGCTATGGAATGCGACCCCTTACTTCTTTTTCTATTAACCTCAAATAATTGAAGTTTATACACAGATTTTGGATGTAATCCACTTGACCCCCCAGCCGACGCACAGCTATTGTGTATCCATTTCTAATTCTGCTACAGAGATGTAAACGCAAATTCCATGATGCGTTTTTGACTAAGCAAAAATTTGCACAAGGCAGGCTTGTTTGCGTCTTTGCAAAACTCCATCCTCGTCAAAAAAATATCTTTGTGCAAAAATCTGTCGATCTCGGCTGGGGGGTTAATGCGCCTCAACAATTTCCCTTAAAACAATATTTTGCTCCCCATCACCATTGTCTCACCACGTAAACCACTTAAACGTCCCTGACAAGACACAGACAGAACAAAGTGCGAAAAAATAATGAAAGACAGTAAAAAAAGAAACCCTGAGATAGTGATAGAGGACGAGCAGCCCAATCGACGGCCATGCAGCACTAGGGGTTGCGTAGAATGAGACGATAGCGATGGCGATCGCCTGCACGAGGGCTCCGACAAAAGTCAGCACGCTCGATGGGAGACGACTATCCAGCATATCGATATCCTGCATTCTTCGTCATGCATTTTAATAGGGTATACGATACGATATAGAAGCTAGATACACCCACAATCGTAAAAAGTCAGTCCGCTAAGATGGTCATGCTTAGGAAGGGGGGTAATGGATAACTATTAGTAGCGTGGTAGTGGTTGTGCAAGCTGTGCAAGGCAAAATTAAAGCTAGAATTTTTAAGCTTCCAGATTTTAATTTATCGCTTATTCACGCATTAGAATAAATTTTTCGGCTAGGCTTGGGCTTAGGCTTAAGCTTACGCTTAGGCTTACACTTACACTTTTGACCTCTTGGTCCGCTTTTGTTAAATTGACCTCGGTTTTAAGCGCACTTCTAAGGCTACCTCTTCATAACACATAACGTGAAAAATAAATAAATTTTAACTTAAAAACGAAAACCAATCGAAAAAAAATTAAAGTCACGACGGCGTTCCGCATTCCGGGAAGGCATGCAGGCGGAGGGGGAGCGAACAACTCGCAGCATTTCGAGCCTCACCAAGACGATATAGTAGCCGATGAACAGGATCGAGAACGGGAGCATCACTGATGGGGTCGAGTAGGCGATCACGAATAGGGTGGCGACCACTTGGAATGCCGTCAGGGCCATTCCTCGGATGGTCGTCGGCAGCGTAGTATCGACCGCGTCCACGTCCCGAATTTTTTATTGTTAATTTTGCTTTTGGGTGTTGTGCTTCAATAGTATTTTTAAACCTTCTCCTCCCCCAATTTTTGATAAACTCAATTTTTTCTTAGTTGTTAGTTATTATTAATTATTCTAGGCATGGGTGTACTGTACTTTAAATAAAGAATCATGCTCGGGCGTCTAACTAACAAAATATTCACATGCACAATATGCCGAAATAAAGATATTGAGGGTTGGGAAGGGTCGCTAAAAGGATTTTAAATTATGCAACTCTTTTAATATAGGTGTAATCGTTTTTCTCCCCAACTCTCAAACATAAAGCCATGCAGGAAAGAAGAAGATACGCGTAGAGGCAGTACCAAGATGAAATAGTTGCCAACGACGAGGAGGGAGTAGAAGATCGAAGCTTTCGGAAGCACGTAGATCAGGATCAGAAATGACTGCAGCACTTCGCCGGATGCGTACAGGAATTCGCCGATCGATTCCGGCAGTTCGGTGTCGACGCATTTGATATCCTGCACAAGAGCCTCCAATTCACAACCACCCCCAGGCACAGCAGATTAGTTTAGAGGGTGGAATATATATTTAGATGATTATGATTATAAGCTTGGCTAAAGATATTTGCAAGCATAAATGCTAATTAAAAAAAAGAAAAATCTAGAAAGCCCCCTTCATCCATTTTTAGGCGAGATTAGCGTCTGTATCCCCAAAAATCTAGTTTTAAGGACCCTCCCTGAGCCTAAATCCAAATTAGCGGACTGCTCAGATGTGTTAGATACCTTTCCGAATCGATTCAAAATACGACCAAGTGGTGTTGTATCGAAGAAGCTCATTGGACTATGCAGGATATTTTCCAGGAACCCTGGAATACAGAATTTCACTTATTTACGAAATTTAAGGCAGCACCTTCATGCAAAATCCTTGAAGCTCGCACCATACCGAGAGCCATAATAATGGAAGCGGCACAGATTGAGCAGGCTATAATATATACCATTTTTCAATTATAATTTTTTATACCTTGACCAACGCCCAATCCAGCATACACCAATAGACGGTATCTCGTTTGGTTTTCGCCATTTGAATCGCCCTGGATTTTCTTAGCATCGTCAGACCATCTAGCGAGCCACAGATTGGAAAATACCTAAACATGTTCGTAGCAAACTAGGTATAAATTTTTTTTATGGTTGATTGAAACTTACACCAAGGACACTGCTGAAAATATAGACTCCAAGGAAAAGCGCAGCGATACCATATCCAATAGCCGCCAAATAGACAGTGTAAACAGTCCATTTCACCTGAACGAACGGGGAATTAATAATCCGGTGTTTAAAGAATACCTTTCCAGTCTCCATTCCCTCTTTCTCAACAAGCTTTCCTTTAACCGGAGAGGCTTCTTTATCCAACAACGCCTTCTTCTCATCATTTGATGGAACCTCTTCCTTTTCAGCTTTTCCAAGCTCTTCTTTCGCCTTTGGGGACGACAGCGATGGAGCAACAGATACCTTTAAGACCCTACAAATTGCACCTGCTAGTTTACCTTTCGTTTGATGGGAGTTGGTGGCTGTTTGTTCAAACTCTCCGTAGATGAATGGACTTGACTAATTTGAGACTCAATCCGCTTCCTCTTCTCTGGCGCCACTTTTTCGATTTCATTGAGTAGTTCGCTGACGTCCTCAGCTAAAGACAAATTTCGAAAAAGCTTTTCTGATTTTCTTACAATCTTCTCCGAAAGATACAGATCGGCCTCTGGTCTTTGCCTCTTCGACCAGATATTCTTCCAAAAATTCTCCAAACGCTCCTTGCGATTTCATCAGTTCTTGGTATGAGCCCTTTTCCGAGATTCGCCCATCTTAACACTTATTATTTAAATGAACTTTAAAACGAACCCTTCATAACCACGATTTGGTCGCAATATTTCAGGAAATGCAGGCCGTGGGTGATTAAAATTCGGGTGGTATGCTTTAGAACACCAGTATCGGATGCTAAAGAATTTTAGAAAACAGTGTTGCGCTTCACTTACAAATGACTTGTTCGAAGATATGTTTTCCGACGTGTGCATCAACAGCGGAAAGGGGGTCATCAAGGAGGAGGATGTCAGCGCCAGAATACACCGAACGAGCCAGTGAAATGCGTTGCTTTTGGCCACCAGAGAGATTGATGCCCTATGCAAATTGACAAGGTTTCAATGCTATTCACCTTTTCACCAATTTCAGTCATATCCTCAGCTGGCAACGTAGCTAGATCGGGCTTTAGAGCGCAGCATTCAATGACCTAAAAAGTAGAAAAACGTTGAAGCGTTGCTTACTCTATCGTAAAATTCTCGATCAAACGGCTTATTGAATAGGATGTTGTCTCGAAGTGACATATTCTGGATCCATGCTTGCTGCGGAACATATGCAATATTTCCCATTATGTCAACGTGGCCGCCAACGCGATTCATTTCTCCTGGATTAATTTTATTTTGAGGGTTACGTGTTTTTTACCTAGCATGGCGCTGAACAAACTGCTCTTTCCGGATCCGACTTTTCCAACGATAGCGACAAGAGAACCACGCGGAATGGATAGACTCAAATTCTTTAGCAAAGGATTTTCCTCCGATGACTCCCAGGTGAAGTTTCCTTGATCGATTCGAATGGCATCTTCTATAAAAAAACTTTTGTATTTTTCGCTAATCGTTACCACTAGTATCCTTGGCATTAAGAAGCTGAGGTTCCATTTCCTGCTCGGCAAAGAACCCTTTCAGACGATTGTTTGAGACGTGACATTGAAGGGCTTGGCTGCAAGATTTAGTTGTTTTTCTCAGCGTTTGTTTCTTACGTATAAATCATGGCGAAGATGGCCAACGGGAATCGCATGATATTGAACAGGGTCAAGGCGACGAATGTGATTTGCGGAGTTAGCACGTTGTTCACCGGGTCCACCGTCACGTAGACACCGAAAGTAAGAACAGCGACTAAAAACGGCGCACAGCTCCAGGACAACGTTGTCGCCGCGTTCAGGAAAGCCAGCTCTTTCAAGACGCGGATCTCCTTCATGCGTATCTGAAAAAAATCGGCTTGAGCTTTTGAGGTCGTTCTTACCTCCAAAACCATCTGCTCCATGCTCTTTTCCCAGGCATACAGTTTCAACACCTTGACGCCGTTCAAAATCTCAGACATCATCTTCAACCTCTCGTCCTTATATTTCATTTGCGTTTGCTGAAAGAATGGTAGCATTAAACATTAAAAAATGAAAACCTGATATGTCCTCATTTTCATGGAGATCCAGATGTTCAAGGGGATCATGAGGATGAGGATCAGCACGCCGACCAGGACGGAGAAACCGAGAAGACGCCAGAGGAAGTAGATGGAAAGGGTGACCTAAAGGTAGAGATTTGGTGGTTATTATCGTTATTTGAATACTTACTTGAAGAGGAGCAGACCAGAAGAGCATTACGAATGTCGTCATATCCTGAACGCGTTGGATATCCACGGTCATCAAGTTAACAATTTCTCCAACGTTTCGGTTTTTCCTAGCGTTGTTGGATAGGAGAAGCGCCTAAAAACATAATCCTTTAAATAAAAGGTCATGCTACCTTCTTATAGACTGCTGATGTCAAAACCGAGCGGATGTTCATGCCAAGACGGAACATGTCGTGGAAGTATTGGTGGAGAACCTAAAAATAGCCTATAAAACGATTTTGAAGTCTAATTACCATTGATTGCAGCAGTGCAACAATGAACATCGTCATGGCGATTGCAACACCAACCCAGACAGGTTGATTGTGGTCCTATAAAGCTTAATTTTGAGGCGGCGACCTTTAACTACCTGGATGAATGTAATTAGCTGCTTCAAAAGATGAGGCGAGGCAAATTGAAGCAGATCGAAAATCAGCTTATAAAACCCGGCAGCCAAAAATGTCATCTTGTAGGTTTGGAAGATCGGCTTCAGGATGGAGGGGAACTCTTTTTCCTTCAGCTCGAAGGAGTTGCCGGCGGCTCGACGTTTTTCTTGGTAGGCTGAAATTGTAGGGTAATAGTTTGTGGTTAGATTACTTACCCTTGTGTTGGGGTTGGAAGTAAGTCATGAAGTTTGGCAGCAGCGTCCAGGTCTTATCCCGATCATTCAAATTCCAGAGATCATCCTTGTCCAAGGACTTCTTGTAGCCGAGCCGTGCCAAGGGTGTGAACCAGTTGAACGTGATTTGGCTGAGAAATGACGATTGCATCTCCGGGCATTCTTTTTTTCTAAATTTTATTTTTTAATCGTTTTGCAATAAAACGAACCCCTCCATAGTTTCGTTCCGGCAGATCGGCAAAGCAGGACAGAATCAATTCCAATATGTAAAGCGGATAGCCGATAGCGTAGAGGAAAAACCGGAACTGATCGATTGCCGGACTTTCTACCTAAAATCTTTGAATATTACAGAGTAGGCTTCTAACTAACCCCATGCCACCACAGGCTGATAATATATCGGAACTCCGTAAATCCACACAGGCAGCACAGTAGCCAATAATTAAATAGGACTCCTGATGTCACAAGTCCACGGTTTTTTGATGCATAAAGGAACACCAATGCGGCACAAGCTCCTAGAAAACCAGTTAATAACTTTTTAAGGCTTGTTCTCACCGAGATATTGCGGAATATCGCCAAACAGATAGATTCCGGCGTCCGGTTCCTCTTTAATAACATTTGCCAGGTTGTAGAGTAGAGAAATGGTGAGATCAAACACTAAGACAATGCAGATATACTGAAATCTTTTTTTAAGGTTAAGATTTTACGCTTACGATCCGTAGGGTAATCGGGGTAAACGTTCGGAGTTTTCCGTTTTGGCTGCGGAAGAGATCAAGTAGGAGAGAAGGACTAAAACAACTGGGTAGTCCTTCGATTAAAGTTATTACCTAAAAACTAGAAGAAAAATGAAGGGCGCCCAGCTGAGTTCGACATGTTGGGTGCATTCGGTGACGTGTGGTAGGGTAGCGAATGTTGAATTGCGCCAATGAGATGGCAAAAACTGTTCAAATTTCAAATTTATTTTTTAATTTTATAGCTTCCAACCTTGTAGTCATCTTCTCCACACAGATATTGATGGATTGTCGGCAGCATTTCAACCCTCCTTCATATGTATGCGAGCACAATTTAATTTAATTTATCATACCTAAATAATGGTGTTAAAATACGCATTAAAACATACTTAAATTGAGTAAATAGACAAAATCCAATTTGGAGATAATGGGACATATTAGCAGGGCATAAGGTCAATTCCCCCCTATTATCTCATTTCCGGCATCTCCGATGGACCAGAAGATAAAAATGCATTTTGTTGCTCCTCACACCCTGATTGGCCCCCATCAAAATAAGCCTTACGGAAATACCAAAGAAACAATTAAAATTTATAGCTGCTCGCCATCCGGGTCGGCAGGTTCAAAAACTATTCGTCTATCGGCTTATCACCCCCGCAAGACAGAACAAAAGACATGCGAATAGGCGCCGCGAGTATGGCATTTCTCTCCCTGCCCGAATTTCAATTCCTCTTTCATATTCATTTTTTTCGCATCAGAAATTCGCACAATAGAGAAGACTTAATCGATACAACCCGTCAGCCACTGTTTACAAAATGTATAATGGTCCGAAAGGCAAGGGCGGGAAAAGAAAGGCACACAAGTGTGGACGCACAAATGATTCAGGCTGTAAAAGCAAGGCAAGCATTTGAACATCGAGAAAGGAAGAAAGAAAGCGTTCTCCATTTCAAGGTCACACTCGTCTTCTTTTTTCGTTCTTTTTGGGTCCCCTCTTTGGATAATGATCAACAGGACAGCAAATGCAACACTGGGGGCCCAGTGCGCGGGAGCAAACAAACTACAAATCTCTCGAAATTGCCATCAGCCAGGGATTTGCTTGGAAACAAATTGAGCCTTGAAACTAATTAATTAGTAGTTCATCGGTTGAGAGAAGTGCCAAAGATTGTGAGTCATAATTTTATTTTATGCCTATAGTTCATTTGTAAATCAGGCAGGCAAGCGTATAGAGTATCGATTTAGAAAATCCAAATCATGGCCAGAATTTAAATCGATGCGTGTTAATGCGAAATAATTTTGTTTAGATTTATATAGGTTTCGAAAGTTTTCAAGCTGGGAGGATTTTTGTGGCTATAATTTTAATTTATATCATCAAAAAGGCAGTCAAACAAACTAATTTCGACACTTAGTTGTTAGCTTTTGAAAAATTTTTAGAAAGGCTCTAGTTAGGTGCACCAAAATACGATGAAACATCATTTCCGGTAATTTTCGTAGCGCCTAGTTGTATCTTCTAGCCTAGCGGGACAATTTTCGTAAAAACACGCAAGAGACAGGTCACCAAGGGAACGGTTTGGCGGTTGTGGGCCACGAATATGTGAGCAAACACCCTGCGCGGCCAGCAGAAACCCCAAAAACGGGCCGAAGAGGATTAATGTCCCCTGTTACTATGGACTCCAAGGCATGAAAGCCGTTCGAGGCCAATCGGGCGTAAATAGTGATTCCAAATCTGTAGCCAAACGGTTTGTGGGCAAGGTTAGAAGACGAAGACATCTGAGATACCGGACACACTAAATTTTATGCCCATTTATGCAAAGTCGTGCCCAAATAGATCGATTGGTTAATGCGATAAAGAACCCCGACAAGGTCGACTGTCAACGTAGATAATTGGATAGCCCTTCGTACAGTTCGCTATCCTCTCTCTTCTCCTCCACACCACCGCAGTCAATAAGAAAAATGAATGCATCTCAAGGCCTCCGCTTAGCGCCTCGATATAAAATATGGGCCCGGGAATGGAATGCAAAACAACGGTTTCGAATCTAAACGGCGGGATGCACTGTCCTAGGGGAGGAGCCGGCGTTTTTTCAAAAACATTGGATGTTTATAATCGGTCAAGGAGAAAGAGGCCTTTCGCAATCCGAAGAAAAAGAACTATGCAGCAGGATCAGTTTTTATAAAATGAAACCAGTTCTAAAGCCTAGGGCTTTTCCGCAAATTCAGCAAGCATTTGAACAAGAATCGCGCGGCGCTCAAACACAATTACCCGCTTCGGATCCACGGCATAAAAAGTGAATTTCCGGTTTTTGACCTGCCCGGAAACAGTGCCACCTGGGTCGTTGGATGCGCAATTTATGTGGGAATAACAAAGGTGTCTGGTGGGAGTGCGGTGTGCGTTTTGCGTCAGTTCTTGGAAAGCCAGGTGGTTTCACTTCCGAAATAGTTATGGGATTTTCGAAATAGAGAGGCGAAAAATCGTCCAAAGTAGGGCTGCTATTTTTATCTGATGTTTTAACGATTCTTTTGACGATTTTCTAAAGTTTGATAATGTTTTAAATAGGTAGCGATAAAAAGATGACCATATGTGTGTGGGTGGATAGAAGGGCTTTGATCAAAGCGCAGTCGGTGCTTGATGTGGCGCGGCCTTTCGAAGGCGCACACTCCGAGACGTGGAGTGGCTGTATGGTGGGGGGTGCAAATAGCAAAGTAATGCAGGGCAGCGGGGGGTAGAAAGGTAGGAGGAGGAAGAGGACCCGGGTCCTTCGCCATCGTCCATTCGCCTCTTTGCCTTGAGTAAACTCGAAAGAGGATCGGTGGGCCGGACATGGCCCGATCAATTTGTCCTGCCTTTTTTGTGTTCACCTGTCAGAGGATACTCAAAACAAACCGCAACAGAGGCCTAACAATGAGAAATCCTCGTCATGCGAAGAAAAGCTTGAGTTTTGTCATTTTCTTGTGTACAGAGTTACTCAGGTATCATATAGCGACGAAATTCAGAGAAGAAGTGAAGGAGCTTTCGCTTCATACCAATTAGCTAGCGCGCAAACCTCGAAATCAAAATTCCATGAGGTCGAAATTGCATCCTCGCGAATTGGGTAATCGAAACGAATTTTCGATACGACATTAGCATACCGTACTGAAGTCGCTACCCAGCCCATTATTTTAGCCCATCTTTCGCTACCAACATCAATAAACCCAAATTACAAGCTAATTATTCCCCACGCTTGACAGGTGCAATTAGACAAACCCCGGAGCGCAAAATTGTGAGTACCAAACCAAAATTGCCATCGGCAACAAAATCTTACGATGCTTTTTCGAAACTTATGATTTCGAGGTGTAAAAGCGCCTTCAAGCGAACTGGGAACAAACAAATATTTGCCTTGGCATCGCATTGTGCGGTTTTACATGGGCCGATAGATGGCAAATCCATCCTTGTTTCTCGGGGGATTAAGGGAGATTATTTTCGCCCCCGCTGCAGGGTTTTCTCGCAGTTGTACCATAGCAACAAGCGGAAAGCGATCGATTTTAATACAATAGAGTCACGAGAAAAGGGGAACTTTTAAGGAAAAGCTGAAATGAAGTGTGGAGTCGGTGGAAATTCGTAGACATTTATATACATTTTCACGAGATCAATCTAGCAATACGCCGTGGTGCATATGAAATTCATGTGAAAATTGTTGCTCCATCATTTCTTTGAAGAGTTCCCGGGCCGAATGATCATATTTTTTGTTCCAAGTCGCTGAAAATTAATTAGAGTATTTGGGGGGCAATTCTCACATCAATCCTTTGCTCGTCGAACGCTTGACAATCTCAAATTTGAAGGTTGGCTTCGCAATCGTGTACATCATCAGCGACTAAAATAGACGAAGCAATATTTGGGAGTGGGGATTGTGACGTACCTCCTGTGGCCCTAATCTTGCAATTCCCGCTCGTTCTTTGAAAAAGGTATGCTGTGAGTTTTTCTTTACATACTCGTATTCAATCTAGAAACTATTTTATAATATTTTATTTGTACCTACCGTATCGTTCTTCATACAAAACTCCTTTCGACAATCATCTAATATTTCACACGCTTCATCAGATAGATCTTTCGAAAAGTTTTCCACTGTATTTGAAATCTCCGTTGGTTTCAACAGCATAACCCTCGTTTTAACCTAATTTTCTTTCATATAAATTCTATATAAACTCACATTTAACGCAATTGAATTAAACTGGTGCACTTTGCTTTTCACCAATGGAGTATGATCAAATTTTTTGGGATATAGCGTAGAGATATGCTTCCTGAACTTATCATTCAAATTCACGAAAGCGTTGCCTAAACACGATTTTTGAACGAATTACAAAATTACCATCAAAATCTGGGGTCGATTCTGCGATCTTACTCAATTCCGCATCAAAACGCCGTTGCGCCGAGGCAGCAAATCTTGTTGAAAATGAATCAACAATTTTCTGTACATCTCTTGTAACTATACTCCTTCCTGATGTCGACCAAAAGCTGGAACTTGCAAAAATTATAATTTCCTGAACTTGAATTTACCTCTGTTGCCGCTTCAATAGAATTTGTTTCAGACGAAACCTCGTCTTTGAAAATGCCATCCCAAAAGCATAGAAATGTTCTCCAACTAATGCGCAGGAAAATTTCATGACATTCATCCAACCATAGATCCCTTTGTCGTACTAAATACTAATAATAAGTTAAAAATGTGAGAAACATGCCATGATGTATGATAAAAGCATACCATAAAATCGTTTTCACTGATGCTCCCATATTTCATGTGCAGGCAATTTGTGAGCTCTTCTTTTATGCGCTTGACCGGAATCCAGGGCTTCTTTTTCAGGTCTCGCATTTCTTTGTCAAAATCATGTTTTGTGTAGTTCTCGAGCGAATGGCGATCTATCCTGAAGCTCCCATTTGAATTAGACAGCACATCGATAGGAATTCTGAAATGACAGTCATAGGCGGAGGGGAGGAGTGTAGGAAATTGTATATAGAATGTTAAATTTGTTAAGTACCCACAATCCTACCCGGAAGTAAGTATCGTTGCTCGAGTCTTGGAAAGGCACAAATTTTTCGGCATTTTTATCCGCAGTTTGGAGGAAACGATCGTAATCGAATTCGGAAGCAACAAATTTATCTATAAAGGAAGGGGTTGTTGTTGGAGTTGGGGCGGTGAATTACCTAATGCAATATCTTTGAACATAACAGATAAAGACCGGAAACGTGAGGTGACGGAATCGGCATAGATTTGGTAGAATAGGGTTATTAGCAGGGTAAGTGGTGTCCGGATTATCATGGGGTATTTGGTTAGAAAGCTAGACGTGAGAGTGCCGTGTTAGGATGGCGGATTGCCGACGGGCACTTCCCTAAATACGGAGGTGTGGAAGGGTGGGGACACCCGCAAACATTCACATGACAGCTAGCACCAAAAAGCCTGGAGGCGGAAGGGGGGGGGGGGAATGGACTACGAGACCACGCTAGCTAAACATATTCGTTTCAGATCTATCATGGAAGTTGATAATTTGATAGTATGAAAAATCTATAAATAACGATAGGTTAAAGACGAGAAGCTCAAAGGTCTAGTAGATCAGGGTTCTTCTTTTTGGCAGCCGGCCGACCGGAAATACGTATGCAACAAATGCACGGAAAAAGATTTATGCTAATTTTAGAACCAAAACTCGTTTTACCTTCCTGGCCCCTTTAAAGAAACGAATAGCGTCTTAAATTCAATAATTTGTATTTAAAATATTGTCAATTTTTTGCATATATTTTTGGAATAACGCTCAATCTTGTATTTCGGACATTTTTATAGTCAATAAACAATCAATTCGGCCGATCGTTTTCATGAAAAGTCCAAACATTTGCATCCATCGTAGACCAACCATGGTATACGGTCCTAAACACCATAGCTTGATTATCAAAAACACCATACATGAAACATAAATTTCTCGCCAGCAGAACGAGCCTTTAGCACATCAAATCCACTACGAGATGAATCCACACATCGCAGATTAGGATTCAGAAGCTCTTGGTTCTAAAACGATACAAAAAAGATACCAAAATTACCGTACCAATGTATTATTCAGAAATAGACATACGCGAACATCAACCAACGAAGGACTGAGTAGAGGATGGTTCCGGATTGCCAGCGGTGTGAGTACACATGTCTAAACGAAAATTCTATCTTCTTCCGAGGATTCGTTACCTCATTACAAGGCCGACCCTTCTTTCGGGCAATTATATCTATAAATGCTTCCTAAAGAGTAATTATTTTCTAAACGAGCTATCATACTCGAACATATATTGGCTGCTCAAAGTCAAAGTCGAATAGTGGCTGGACGTAGAGTTTTCTTTTATCGCGTAGAAACCTAAGCGCAATTTTTATTTAGATTTTTGGATCTTACTTCTCCGCATCTCCCACATAGCACGATGAGATATATTGCAGGTGTTCGTTTTGACTATATCTATCTTGACATACAACGTTCTAAATTTGGGTCCATTTTACGGTTTGATTTTACCACGGATAATTCTGTCATGGCATCTACGACGCGTATTACACCAACGTTCGGAAATTGCCAAAAAAGGTAGTTTCGGGAAGTGGAGAAGCCTTCGATTTTTAGATGGATCCATGCTGCCAGGAAATCATAATCATAGGGATCTTCTTTCTAAGGATATAAAAGCTCAAAGAAAATTTTAAGGCTATTCACCATCCATTCTAAATAGGAAAAGACCGCACCAGGACCGAATCCACGTCCTAACTGGCTAAAAACCGTTACACGGTTTTTCGCTCTCCATTCATCCAACGCTTTCTAAAAATGTAGCTAATGTCATCTTAGCTTGTCTTGAAGATAAGATACATATTTTCTAGTATAGATAATTTCACCCACCAAAGAATCATAGGTCATATAATCTGTATAACCGAGCATGACCCCAATAGAATGATAGAGCTCCATTTCCCGGAATCGCTTTAGGCGAGTCCAATCGACGGATGATGAAATTGGGTTGAAAAATATAAAAAGACATTGGAATAGGATGATGTTCATGATCTTTGGATGGCATGCTCCCCCAGACTGGTCCATTCGCGTCTAGACGGTGACCCCTGAGTTATGCAACGGTCTGACCTGACTTACAATTATAATTGGTGCCAATTGCAGGGGCCTCATAGCTCATGGATATTAGAGTATTTGGTAGGAGGTGTTTTTTTCTATAGAATATGTTGTTGAAATTGAAATTTCCTTTTATCTCGATAAAGTGTATAAAGTTTACTCGATCTTGCCTTCCAGCGCCCCATTTTGGTATAAGATTTTATAGACGGTTATTGTCGTGTCGGGTGCATTTTTTTGGACCATTCAAATTGAAAACCCCGTGCGAATGATGATTGTAGCCTACTACGTTTGTTCACCACCCAAAATTACCAGCTTTTAAATACAGTTTGCACGAAAAGACTCCATTCAACATCAACTATGCATCTTACTTTTGTATTTTGCCATTCATATTCTTACTGTGCATTTATATTCATGATTCTCTCCCCAGAAACGATAATCTTTCTTATTATGTTGTTGTGACCCCAACCCCCACGATCTTTGAGGCATCCCAAGTGGCCTCCGAGTGGCTCCTTTCCCCATTGGACCCACGCGCTCACGTACTCTCTATGACACTTTTTAATCGTCTTATTAAGATTGCGGCGTTGTGATCTTGGCCAACGCGCTTGGACTTCAGATTCAGAATGACGAATTATCTGCCGTGGTGCTTCCGGGCTTGTCTAGAATGTGTCCAGGGGCCAAGTTTTACGGAAGCTGCGTATTATCGGCGGATGAAAAATGAGCCGGCGGTTGCGTTGGATGTTAATAAGACAGGTTGGTTGCGTATAGTTAAAAATCTCATTCATAAATTAAGAAACTTAGAAATTTCTGTAACAAATAATCTCTTCTAAAAATGCTACCGTAACCCAGCCATTGATTTCAGGAAGCGATGTAATTATCCTCAAGGAAGGAGAACGGATTTGTGGTACCGGATCAGCGCTCTGCACAGCTCCACTCGTCCAAAATAAAAGCTATTGGCAAGTGGATATCCAGCAAACAGGTTTGTTGAGTCGTTTAGGATCCTAAAAGATCGTTTAGGAACCTGGTGCATTGGCGTAGCGACATCAGAATGTGCCCTAAATCAAGTCCCACCGGGGACAGCCTTTTGGGGCATTAATGAAAAGGGTGAAGTCGTCTCTAACGGGCAAGTCGTCACAAAAATCGATAAGCCGATCGAGGAAGGAGATTCAATCGTAAGGATTGATTTTTATTCCTGGGAATTTCTTTCCAGGGGTTAACATATGATCATATCGAGTTGCGGTTTTATTTGAATGGTAGTGCGCTTGGTGATGGAATTAGCGGAATTCGTGGAAAGGTATGGTTTTTATAGTTTGCACTAACTAGGTGATTTCTAGATTTTCCCAGCCATCTTCGTTGATGATTCAGCTATTTTGGATGTAAAGTTCACCGAATTCACTCAGCCGGCGCCGAACGATTTTAGCGAAATTTTGTTAGAACAGACAATTTTGTAACTTTGTAATAAAATATATTTATCAAAGAAATTTAAAAGACAAACAGTCGTATGACTGACATATTATCTCCTCAATAAAACGCAATTATTATATATAACTACTAATAAAATAACTTCAGAACCATGCTGTTCTTCTTACTTGTGGCAATTTTGCCGGCGATCCGAGCCCAAGACCAGTATCTTCCCACCCGCTGTGAGACCTGCGTGCTGTTGGGAAGAGAATTTGATGATTATCTTATGAAAACGAAAAAAGTAAAAAAGGTGGTGTTGCCTATTTTATCTTTGTAGAGATCGGAAACCCATATGGTCGAGGGAATGGATAATATCTGCAAAAATTTGATCGCCTACCGATTGCACAAGGAGCACGAAGGGTTGGCCAGATTCCAGAAGCAAGATAGTCAAACGATGGAGGGATTGAAGAAGTTACGAGAACAAGGAGTTCAAGTATGGCAAAGTCATAAACTTCTGATCGCAAAATATTTAGGTGGAACTAGGTCTTCCTCCGGAATTCTGGGATCAACCATCCGTTGAAATCGCCGAGTTGCAACGTATTTGTGAGACAATCATAGAGCAGTATGAAGATGTGGTTGAGACTTGGTATTGGAAGAAGGGGTGGAATTTCATGGTTAGTGTAGAATCTCTTTAAAGGTTTTATCCATCTTTTAAGGGAGAGGTCTGCCAACATCGAGTCCTTCGTGGTGGGGATCTCAGCTGCCTTCCCAAGCTTGACCCCGAACCTGCTAATGAAGAAAATGAATTTTAAATACTAAATTTATGTTTGTGCTAAGCCTTATCTTTATGCCTCACTTCAACATGTGCCTTTTTTTGTCTTTCACTTCGCTCCTTCTCAGCTTTAATTGCCTTGCCATAATACCCCCAGATCTGAATGGTGCTTTAACGATATACCATGGTGCTCAACTTTAACTGATTCCAATAAAATTTTATCTATTCTGAGCCGGCTCACGATATCACAGGTAGCAAAATATATGCATTTGAGTTAAAAACCTTTGTGATGCAGTTTATATGCGTTGTTTGATGAAGCCGAAGAGACCCATGCAAAATAGATTAATAGCTCCGGTTGCCATTTCGGAGATGGTAGGCCAGAAGAGTTCGATGAGACACGCAAATGCAATAAACTTCAGAAAATCCGCTGACAGAAACGAGTCTGTGGTATCCATTCTGAAAAACACAAAATAACGTTGCTAAAGTGATCCTCGAGGAATAGCAATTACTTAAAATCTACCGTACGGTATTTCTAATACCGAAGTATAAACTGCTTACCTATTCCCTGAGATTAGTAGAATCTTTCTTACACCATCGGACGCAATTTTGGCAGCTAAAATTGGAGTATATGGCTATAAAAATAAATTTTGAAAAATAGAGGCGGGGTTAGCATAGAGCTATATAAAGTGCTGAAGCGAGAGAAGGAGGTGGTTGGTATTGATCGTCATGGGGAAAGGGGGAAAGGGGGTGAGGAAGAGGATGGCGAATGCAGGGCAGCAACCTATTAGCCAAGCCGGTTTTCGCGCAAAAATCACGGTTCGCAACTGAAGAACTTCCTTTCCACTTCTTATGAAGCATGATAAGACAGCAGCCCAATCAATTAATCAATTCAATTCAAATATACCTTACAAAACACGCAAAAACGGCCAATCGTGTATCCTAACTATCTGTAGCTTTCCAGTATCATTCTCTTCCAATAAATTTATTATCAAGCAAAGATTTCATAGCATAAAGGTAAAAATAATTTATAATTTCAGGCAATCCCAGCTCCTCTGTTAATATACGCCTTGCAATTGGAAAAATTTCCATTTGAGACAATACACATCGCATCCACCCTCCAGACCATCTGTTTCTTATTCCGAATTCCACAGTCAATACTATAGGTATCTCCAATGCACCTAAACACGCATAAAACGAGCGATTTGAATCCCCTACCAAGGCAACATCCCAAAAGAGCTGAACCAAAGCCTTATCGTTCCTCGATTTGATCAATTGAGCATATGAGATCAGGATTTCCGCATGAGAAAGATACGGGATGTAGAAATGGCGGTTCAATGTGAACATATCAGTGAGAAAATCTAAAAAATTAGTATTTCATTGTTAAATACCAGTAATATTTTCCACTGGAAGCTTGGTAACAATCCCTTGGAGCCAAGCGGTGACCTGAAATCTAGTTGATAAAAAATAACCTGAAAGTATAACGTACGTTGCTATGGAAGAGTTGCCCCTCAGAACTTTCTGGTTTTGCGTTGTGCAACTCTTCTTGAACGTCAAAGATTAGGTCTGGTAGGAGCTTGTCAAGTTTGGCCTTGATTGCTTGGCAGTCAGCTTCACATTTTTTCGCAAATGTCATGGCTTCTTTGTTCAGGTCGATTTGAGAGGTCTTTTCAAGTTGGACACCGAGAGCTTGAGCTTCATCGTGCTTTTTGGAAATGAGGTCTGGAAGGGTGATAATGGAAAGGATTACAAGATTACCAAGCTCGACAGCTGATACTAGGGCAAAGCATAAAATGGCAACAGCTAGCTGTAGAAGTTTTGTCATGCTGAGTTTCAGTGATCCCTCCTGTCAGGTTTTCCTTTTTTATAGATGCCCCCACCAAAGAACGGCAATAAAATGCCGTGTAAGGTGCCATTGTTAGGATAGGGGGTGTATTTGAATAGATGGATGAGCCAGGCATGCGACCTGGTGAAGACTTTATTCCTGGGACACATTTCCAAACAAGGACGATGACGACAATTCAAAGCATCTCTTGAAGATCACAGAAGGATAGGGCAGGAACGGAAAGTGAGGGTTCGAATGGAATCGACATATCAAACTATCATAGTTATAATCCCAGCACAATCAATTAGAGCTTTTCAAATATATGATTCCTGAATAGAATTCTTGAGCTATAGAAAACAATAGAACCTAATTATTGTGAGGTGTTCGGGGAATCGATGGATACGTTTTGGCGTCGCTGATGAGCTTTGTAGAGCTCGGTGACAATTTCGCCAGCGAGGAGGTCACCTCCGTTTGTCTGAATCAAAAGTATGAAACTAGAAAATTAATGTATACCTGAATCAGACGGGATAAGAAAACACCGTCTGGTGTCAAGAAATTCTTCACGAATCTTGACACCTCAGCATCATCTTTGCCGGAAGATTCAGGGATAGCACCGTTACACCGGAGATACCTGAAAATTTCATAAATAAAATTTTATGACTACAAACTTTGAGACAAATTCCCGTTGGCTGCTTGGCATCACCAGGGAGGCTAGCCAGTAGACAAGCGAGACAACGGAGAAGACGCCGACCAACAGGAACCAGAACCTAAATAAGGGCATTCAGTTGACTATTTAATCTTCTAATCTACCATAAGAACACGTAAATCTTCTCGGTGAACATGTTAATCATCAGAACACATTGCACAGTCCAGCGATGTAGATTCCCCATAACTCGCACCTGAAAATTAGAGTCCATTCCTTTCATTTCCAATTTTCCAGGCGGCTTCCTCATTTTAAAAGCTGTGGATTTGAACCCTTGAAACGTTAGTGGATCTCAATCAGGTTGTCTTTGCTTTCTCTTGAGGTATCCCCGCCCTCAACAGACATGTAAATTGAGAACAATCGAATTTGGTGTGGGAACACTAGGTCTCAAGGGTTTAACTCTCCCTGCGAAGCTTCGTCTATTTTTCTTAAAGTTATGTTTAAGAATGAACATACTCTTATTGTTATTCATGATCATGCTTACGAGAGATTGGTAGGTAAGAGAAAAGCCATGCTAATTGATTTAAACGATGTGTGAAACGTCAGAAATGTGGATCGCCGTTGCCTGTTTCGTTCTCCCGGCCGTCATATTCTTTGTGCTAGCCGTAATGGCTTGGATGAAAATGCGAAGCGTCAAGAAAAAGTTTGTTTGTCTTTTAATTCTACGGCAAATTTCGTTTAGGTGCTCTTTCGAAAATAATGCAGAACTGCATGGCCGAGTTTTTGAATACCGGTATTCAGACTCCACAACCTTTCCATATTATAAAGATCATTAAAATGTACTTACATTGAAATCGCACATTGTGACACGGGGGAAATTGCCGGTTTCTTCCCATTCACGACCGGATCGGATGTCGTTGAGGACCTCCCAACCCCAGAAAGTGCTCTTCGTTCCAAGGAACATCTAAATTCAGTTAGTTTTGTCTTTAAGAATCGCATACCTTGAAGATCGCGAATTGAACAAAAATGTTCAAAACGTAGAGCAGCTTTACACCAATGTAGAGGAAAGACAGGTAGTGCCCTGATTTTCTCCATCTTTTGACGACATCGCAGGAATCTAAGGCAATCTAATTGACGTTTCTGTGGGTGTATTACCGCTCTTTAGTTCCCGCTGCATATCTAGAGCCTCTTCAATATGATGAGCAGCGCGTTTTACCTAAAATTTGACAGAATTTGCTTATTATATTTCCCTAATATACCTGGTCGTCTCGAGATTCCTTATCGATTTTCTTCTTGATCTGGGCGGCTGATACCAAAATTGACTTGACATTGATTCCTGAATTAACAATAGACTTCTATAGCTGACGACATCCATACCAGTATTGAAATTCAGAGCCTTCCACACGAGGGAGGGCAAGTAGAATAGAAAAGCTTGTACGGCAAGCACAATTGGGACCCATTGATAGTAGCCAATAACCTGGAAAGACATTTTAAATCTCTGATAAATTAATTGTTGCTTACGGCGTCATCCCGCTCGATGAAATCGCTGCCAATATTATCATCCATAGGGAGGTAATAGCTACCCTTGATGAAGCAGAAGGTTTCAGCGTATCTAATTAGATATTATTCAAATTTCACGAAGGTTTTTTTACCTCTCCCATGATCCAGTGAATTGGGCAGGGACCCAGCACTAAAATGTGACTTTTAAAGAGTGAATTAAGTTGAAGTAAAGCTTTTAATACGACAGCTTAGATAAATATCCCTACCTGAATGGGCTTTCCGACGTACTGCGTGGCAGCCAGCGTAATGGCACCGATCATCACAATAAGGGCCGTGTAGTGGTAGTTTAATCGGTCAATGATGTCGTTCGACTGGTAGGAGCGGCGGATCTTCGCCACGTAGGGCGCGATCACACCGATCATTTTGGGACCCTATTAATGTATCCTATTAGTTATGTATCGACATCGAAAACGTATAATAAGTCAGCATGAAAGCGCATAAAGCCTAGGGTAAAAATTTCAGGCGTTCGGAAATATTAGCTGTCTTGAACGTGCAAAAGTTACTATTTAAATGGAAAAAGTCATGATATAAGAAGTATTATGAAATCTGTTGTTTCCGAAAAATTCCAGCGAATTACAGCGCCTCCTAACAAGGCTACTGCCGATTCTCACATGAAATCGTAATAAAACGCGGAGAATCAATGACAGTGCTGCCCCGGAAACGGGTCGCCCGTAGCGGATCACACGACAAAACAACGACCAAATGAAATCGGGAAACTCGGGGCAACGAGGCTCAAGTTTTTGTATCGTTAAGGTAGAGGTTAGAATTAGTTGGACAGAATTAGAGGAATAAGGAAAATGGTGGCTGAAAACGAGCTTAGAAGTTAATGAATCGCTTTATCCATTTGAAAAGGCGCTATCTCTCAGCAGAAATAATATTGTTTGCAACCTGCTCAGGTTTTTTTAGAAACTGGCATCCATCGGCCAAAAAGACCGTGTTTTTTATTATAAGAGCCCGCTAAGAAAAACAGTATCTGGGATTAAAAAATGTGATAAATAGTTCTGTATACGCG